CCGATCCGTACAGTATGCCGAATTTAGGCGGACAGTTAAATGACCCTGTAGATACTAGTTAGTATACAAAAAAACCTACTGAAACAAGTATAGTAGTTGGTTATACATTAAATCAATTGGATGCAAGTCGTCGCGTCAGAAAAGTGGCCTTCGCTGAGGTTGTCAGCCCCGACGCGAGACGCGCGCGCACACCTGAGTTTTGGCTGTCTGCAGCCAATCAGCGAAGTACGCGACGCTGGTTGGCGTTGAGTCCCCGATAGGCTGGTACCAAGTTACGAACAGCTCATGCAATCAGTCGGCACGGACGCTATGCGGACCGAAGGGTGAGCAGTCGCGCTGGCGATCGCAAGCACAGACTACCGCAGGACATCAAAATTTCGGGAAGTAAATTATGAACTCAAATGCTGGACTATATACAGGTGGAGGCCGCCATTAGAATGGCGAGCATCTTGTTTCTTACGCTGTGTCGAAGTGTCGCGCCCCACAAATACATGTTCCTGACAACCAAGGGCATATTTGATAACTTATTTCTTTGAGGGGGGGGGAGGGGGAGCACACATAGAGGCATATTTCGAGTACACACTTCTTTGGTCTCACAGTGTCCGCTTATTGTCAGACTCCACTGACATGTTCAAACGAAGGCCCCACTACGAAATAGAACTAAGAATGTTGTTGCGATTTTGCAGCCTGCGGGGAATACAGTGCAGACCGTTTCATAGGTCCTTCCAATACCGCCGGTTTCCATACGACTACCTTCGATAGGTCTGATGCCCTGACTCACACAATATCCCCCCTCCCTTATGACTCTTCAGTCGAGCGACCGACATGGAACACACTGCCTAAGGTAACATGTAGGAGGTACCCCACCCCGGAGCTACGAAAGGTAGATTGCTGGTGATTACATGATAGTACTCATCGTTGGTTGTCTGCGAAACGACTCGTCACTGCAGAGCTTGCGCATTATTCACTTCAGTTTATTTGGGGGGAAGTAGGTGTGTGCCTTTTGAATTCCTATTTTTTGCACGCAGAGAAAGTATATGGGAAAAAATGGAAAGGGAATGACGTGAAAGGAATACAAGGAAAATATCAAAAACTGCACAGATGAACACAGTATCTCATGCGTCAACAGTATTTGAAGGAATATGTTTGATGACTAATGCACTGAAGCACACCCAAGCTACAGGGAAAGAAATCAGATTTGTAGCCTGCAGGCATCTTGGTGAATGCGAGCTGTAGTGTGTGCCGTGGTTCAAACATTAGTAAATTATATAAACAAATGCTACTTGGACATTGGTATTACGAGTACGTGTTCTCGCCACTACAAAGAATTCCAACACAAAATGTGGGAGCTATCGAACGCGTTCCGATGAACCGCACGAACGGGCGAAAAAAAGATTCGGATAGTGATTAATTCTTGAAATTTGCTGGAGAACGGAGACTTAATGTACAAGCCCATTGGGGAAATAAAGCACAGAGATCCCTGTAATACGCGAGGGATGTTACTATTAGCATTATTAGTAAGGCAGTAATTAACGGAATCTGCGGAAGGCATTAAGAAAGCTCGCGCCTCCACTACGTGTTTGCTTTATTACTCCAACGACGTGCCGGAACAGACGGCGCAACTTGAAAGATGCCAACTGAATGCGCGTAAACAGGCGAAAAACGGGGGATCCAAAGTTGTCGTTAAAAGAGGACCGGATTGCTTAAGACGATATGCGGCAGGCAGTCTTGGCTCCGACCCTAAAGTTAACCCTAACCTCAACCCCTAACCCTTTCCCGAACCCTAAACTATCCTCGAACATAGCCCTTACTCCCTGCCATAACCGTAACCAGTTTTCAAAATTAATGTAACTCGTAATACTAAAATAGCACGCCTACTTAAATGAATTAAGTAGGCGTGTGTACTAATAAAGGCCTACGGCGGCGTGTTTAATTTCCGCACGTTGAGAACATTGTCAGTGGGAAACATGACGACTCTTTGAACGGAACGCTCTGGTTGGCCCTCACCTGCGCCTCAGTCCAAGCGTCGGGATAAGATGCAGTCGGAAGAAAACTACTTATGTTCTCCATCTGCAGAAATAGGTCACAAAGTTCCCTAAGAGCACGATAATTATATCCCCCCTTGCTTCATTCGTCTGATGGTGGGTTGTCGTTGGTTGTTGGAAAATTAACAAATTCAACTTATTTTTCCCCATAAGCCTCCTCCTTTGATGAAACCAACATGGAATGCATGTAATCGCGGTATTAAAAGTAGATATTGACGAGAAGGTGATTTCTGGGCCCCAAATTACGCTTCCCAGAAGTTTCGAACTCGTACCCGGGCTAATCGACAAGGGCAAATAATAACACACATTTCAGTTGAAACTCAGACGCCTCTGACGTAAATGATTATGTTTTCACGTATTAACGAATGATATTTTACGAGCCCTAAGTATTAAGAACAGTAAGTAAAACCGCTTAGTGAATAATATTGACATTCAGAACGTAAAATGACCTGAAAGCAGAGCACGCCAGCAAAGCGGGGTTGTCTAGTCGAGTTGTCTTCGTCACGTTAAAACAAGCAATTCGGTAAAAGAACACGGGACTAGATTGTCAAAGGTGAATTAGTCCGGTACCTTTCCACACCTCCGCCCCAAATGATATTCATCCGCAAAATAGATCTTACCTGGCGGCGCTTGATAAAACGGCAGTAAATCGTTATTTCTGTTGACTGAGCCATTGTTTAAATGATCTCTTTCTGCAATGGGTATGAAATCCGGTAATTCAAGTGGCCCAAGATTGCCACGCGGTCGAGCACAAAGTTATGGCGTTATGAGCGGCCACCAGAAGCAGTTTTTCTATACACCCGACAGTAGTTTAATTTTCATGCGTCACTACCTGACCTGTTTGCCAGTTTCAGCCAACATGATTGGCTCTGCCATAATGCACCCAACTAGGTAAACCACGCCAGACCTTTGACAGACTGACAGCGGGTCCTCTATATGCGTGAGTCTTCGGCAAATCGTCGATTTCAGTCTGGTTGCTACTCCAGTCCTCAGTTGACTCGTTGGGTGGGCGAGTTCTCCGACCACATCAACAACATGTATATATGACACTCTGCGCCACTGCTTTAGCCAGGACTTTGTCCTCACGTTTTATCCGTCGAATTCTGGTCAGCATTTCCGGATACCACCTCCGAAGTATCAGATGTCTGTAAGGGACCTTCCGAGATAGCGCTTCTCGGACGCTCTGTCATCCGGCTCGCTGAAATTCGCTTAAACACTGCGCTAGAGCGCAGATAGGGTGATAACTGAGGAAGCTGAAAGTTCGGGAGGCGTTAGTAGTCCTTTTGTAACCACTTAGAATAGGTCCCTATCACTTCTTCTGTGTGCCTGTACATCTAGCAATGACAGCTGTCAGTCTTTTCTTCTTAGTGAAGTGGGTGAATAAAAAATTGAATTAAGACGTTGAATTGAGATACTCATTCAACTGTCGTTTGACTGTGACAAGCATGTCAGTAGCATATAAACTCCAAAAATGCGGTCGAGGGCGGTCGAGGGCGGTCGCAGGCCAACGCCTCTAGCCATTGCGATGCGACTTCAGAAGCAAGGCTCGATTATAGCGGGCCAGTTGGCGTATCTCTGTCGTGTTTTTACACAGCTCTACTGAAGGTATAAGCGCAGACGAGTGCAAACGAGCAACGAGGACAAAGTGCAGAGAGTGGGAAAACCGCAAGGATAGGTTGTGCGATACCAATTCATTTATTACACAACTAACTACTGTGTTTGTTTCAGTAGGTCTTTTGTCTACTAATTAGTAGCCACAGGGAGTCACCGCGCAATAATTTACCGTACTAACAACACAGGTATTAGCTAAAAGCCCAGACACGCGTGTTTCGCCGATCTTGTGCCGCTGCCTGACGCAGCTGCGAGGGGTTCGGCTCGTCAGTGGGTCCCCCAGCTTTCCCCGTGTGTTTTCTGGTATATTCATATCAAATTTCGGACCGTGCCTGAAAAGGCCTGTTTCGAAAGAGTTACTCCAAGTTCGCGCATTAATTTCCTCGGAAATTAAGCAAGGCAACAGGGAGTCACCCTCTGAGTGTTACCTAACTGTCCTTCGCCTAACTTCGGCATACTGTACGGGTCTGCGTGCAATGGCAGCCAAAACATAGTTAATATTACTCCGTTGTCGTCAGCGGCGACGGGAGACCAAGTGAAACACAAAATAATTAGAAGGATATGGCGGCAGGTGGAATCCGAAATTGCGTGAGTCGCGGTGAAATGAAGAACTTTCCTGGCCCAAGCAAGACAGTCTGCGGTCCTTACTCTACTAAAATTGTGAAATTACTTAGCTCAGATGGATCAGTCGTGCTGACGGAGGAATCGTAGATCCTTCCTGGGAGGAGCATTTTGGATGCGTCCTCAACCGTCTATTTGCAGGGGGAAATTGGTAGGCTTACTCAAGCTAACGCCAACACTGACGCCGACCACCTGCCCTCCTTGAAGGAGAGAATCCGGACAGTACTGTGGGTAGACAGCAGAAAAGCTCCAATGATAAGGGGGCGCTCACTGATCGTTTTTATGGAACTCACTTGTCCCGTAGTGCCTTAGGGTTCTCTCTCGAGCCTAACCAGCACCTGCACACCAATGCACGATGTAGGCAGAATGGCATTACCGACGAAGACAAGGGAGATTGGGATGGCCATTTCTGACTTATTAGCCGTCGTCAGCCAGGCACACCCAACCCCAAAGTGTGGAACACCCGAGGCTCGAACTCGAAGCCTGTTTGTTAGAAGTCCACGACTCTAACCACTGGGCCACGAGCCCGTTGCTCTGTCCGTTTCGATCGGGAATATACAATGGTAGGCGGCGCTCAACGATCGTTTTTACGGTTTCGGTCCAGATTCGGTTCCAGTGCAGATCAGCAAGTCCGGTAGCTTTCGAATCGTGTAGAAACTTACCTCGCTCCACCAGAGGTGCCCATAAGGACAACCCCCACAACGGGTACGACCAAATGTACAAATGAAAAGGGAGCATCAGATCTCTATCCCACTGCTATTGACAAAATGTTCATCCGCCCATTACTACTACTACTACTACTACTACTACTACTACTACTACTACTACTACTACTACTACTACTACTACTACTACTACTACTACTACTACTACTACTACTACTACTACTACTACTACTACTACTACTACTACTACTACTATTACTATTACTACTACTACTACTACTACTACTACTACTACTACTACTACTACTACTACTACTACTACTACTACTACTACTACTAGTCGACTGTCTGGATTTATATCTTGAGCAAGGACCTGTTTCCGAGATCCAGTATTCAAATCGGAAAATCCGTGGGCCTCCTGACATGGTTCTTACAGTATGGCGGGAAACTATTCAACGTCCGCCACATGCAAACCACCACAAAAAACTTTAGGGTTGGCGTACAAGGCCTCCTTCTTGTCCAGTAAACGTCACTGTCGAAGAACATATGCGGCGGAGTCCGGACCACTTCGCCTGCGGATGGGTTAGTGCCAAACTAACTACTAGCACGCAGAAAACGATACCCACGAGCGCTACCCGACATCAACTTCCGAACACATCATGTCGCAAGCAGCGGTAGCTCTGCTGCCGACAGCCATCACGCCCATGCCTGGCGTCCTTGTCCAAGGTCACGTTTCGTCAAGGGACATCAAAATAACGGTTCCAGACACGCTGACCTACAGCTACTCGACAGACGTCTTCAACTGGGACGCACACGCGTCCACACAGGGTCGCAGCTGCCAATGCGCCACTTGGACGTACCTCCTCCGTGCAACCGCAGCACAACCCCTTGGCAAATGCAACACACACCATGGGTAGCATCATCTAGTGGATCATTGAAGTCGAAGACGGATTTGCATCCCGGAACTTAAATGACGACCAGGTCTTTAGCAGATCGCAACGCCCATCTTGAAACTGGGAGACATACATCCCAATGCCAATAGAAGCGATGAGAAGAGTCCCGGGATGCAGACCGATAAACGATTCCAAACCGGATGATCGGAGGCAACCACCAGACGTCAGGTAATGGAACCGAAAGACCCGCTGCCGCAGCAAGAAACATCGAGAGTCGTTTATCGGATCTGGTGCGGTTGCGGACAAAGTAACTATGTCGGAGAAACCGAAAGACAGCTCCGAACGCGAATGGCCGAGCACGCTGCAGCGGTGCGGAGAAATGACGCCAGCTCTCAAGTTGCGGCTCATTCGACGAGATCCGGCCACACATTCAAATTCGACGAGGCCAAAATTCTCGCAATAGGTGACGACCACGTGAGCCGGCAGCTGCTTCAGTCATGGTTTACTGGCCTCCAGTTCAATAACAAGTGCAATGATCTTCGCCTTCCATACTCGGTGCTGAGACATCGCCTAGGCGGAGTAAGTAGACACGCGGGGAGCGCACAGGTGAACACTTTTCCCAACACCAGAGTCGGTGCGTCAGATGGTAGAGCAATCATCACGCCAACATCCAACGCACGTGATGAAATTGCAGCAATTAACAACGAGAATGTCGGCCATCAACCAGTCAGCACACCATGTGCAACGATCCCTGATGAAAGAGGGAGTCGTGAGCATTCATAGATATGCGGTGGCACGGCGACTGCATCCTATACATACTACAGCCCCTTATGCATGAACCACCCGTATCTGCCTTTGTCTCTGATGATGGGTTCAAGCAGGAATCCGAAACGTCGGACGAATAACACTCTTTTCCCAGCGATCGTGTCTCCTTCTTCAATGCATCCCAATACTAAACTCCGAGTGTGGTTCTGTTAACCGGGCAATATTACACGCAGACCCGTACACTCTGCCGAAGTTAGGCGAGGGGTGATTAAACGGACTCCACACAAGCTGTTTTAGTTATTGAATATGAGCAGGAACAGCTTCCAGACATTCTGGCCCTGCAGTCGACTGGGATTTCGATCATGTATGCAGTGCTGAAACACACCCAAATGGGATGCAGCGGTCACGACTGAACGACAGCCGATGAGTGTCCAAGCCGAAACGACTCTTTTCTGGGGACGTCGCTCCGAATACTCGCAGGCCGGAATTCTATGATGTGTTTCCGATTAGGAGGATTTCATAGGTGTGGTTGTATTATTGATTATCATGCTGTGTAATCCTATGGCGTTTCACACTTCCTGGATTGCTGGCTTTTGAATGCACTTATTTTCGATTTCTTGTAGAAGCTGCACCCGGCAAAAAATGACTATTTAAGTAGTGCCTTATAAACTCAAATACACTCTATAGGAAACATGCATAAAAATATGCTTTCTTTCACTCATTTGGTAGTAAATCAAGTCTTCTTTATATTTTATACTTGGAGAGGGTATATCCAGGTTTTGAGAAATTTTTCCAACTACCCAATAATCATGACCCAAGATCAGCCATTCCAGTCTACAAGGTGTATGCTTTCCGCGTAGGATGATCACATACACCCCGAAACCTTTAAGGAGATACTATGCAGAGCTCATAAAATGTTGCAATGGATGCAGACTACGTCTTATACTGCACAGTCTCACAAAATCCCATGATTAGAAACTTCCTAAGGCCGAAAGCTATCATCTCTTCGCGTATGAAATATAAAGAAAGCGTAAGTTGCCACCAAATGAGTATAAGAAAGAATATATCTGTGCACGTTTTCCTCAGAATGCATCTGAATCTATAATGGCATCGAAAACTATTGTGAAAAGTGCATATTACCAAAGCGGCCATTTTTCAACGATCGCGGACTTTATAGGAAGCGCAATGGAAATGCATCCGACAACCGACATCTCAGTGAGTCCAAAATACCATCGAGTTATGCCCTATGATGACCAATATTACAACCCCACCTAAGTAGTCCTTCTAACAGAAAACGTATTTCAAGATCTCGGCAAACATTTCATGAGGTCGATCACTGAATGTAGATGGTGAGGACCTTCGCCAGGCCAGCCAATACGCCCTGCATGGGAGGGCGAAGTCGACACTGAGGCACCCATATGATAATTCCTGGCATTTGTTGTAATAAATGCGACGACCTCAGACCTACCATGACGGGTTTTCGAGGTATGACGCCCTCTTCCTTCGGAACGGAAAGAAGACCGCAACAGCACGGCCTTTGTGGAACTTTCACTTGCTCCCCCAGATATGACGCGGTCTAAGAAGCCTGCGCAACACTGTCGTCGATGTTGCTCAAGCGTATTGTCAGCTCTGATAAAACTCGCAATAGGCACTTCCAATTGGTCACGCCTAGTGAAAAGGACTTGCTCTCTGACTAATGAAAACCATCCAGATGGTGTAGCTCAAACATCATCATCTAAATGCCCAGTGTATGTCAATCCATGTGATTTAGATCGCAGAGGGCGTGGCTCGCTAGGTGACAAGCGCACGCTGACGCAACAAGATGCGCGGGTCCAGACTTCTAATTTCCTCCGAAATGAATTAGAAAACCTGGAATAAGTCCTTCAAAACACACCCCAGACCCGCTCAGAACTTATACATCTGAACCGAAATTCATCAGCTCCAGCGACACAAAGTTGACGAAACACGCGTCTGGGCTTTTAGCCAGCACAGGTGCTATCGCTATAGTGAATAGTTCAATAACTACCCACTCATACCGTTCGTAACACCAACCTGACTTGTCAGGCATCCTCGGTCCGTCGGCCCTCACAAGATGCAAAAGTGGGCCGCCCGCCTATCCCTGCGGCTCCAACGCGTGGTCTAATGGATGACGCCTCCGATGCAACCGGTTACGAAACCGGAGTCTGCATGATAGGCACACGTCTGTCACTCACGTAGCTCCGTTGTCTATCACAAATGCATTCCTGGACTTTCCAATCTGTCCGAAGTCTGGTTAGACTCTCCCTAGCCGGGACGACAGTCTCCTGGTAAAATAACAAGAAATTGTCAATATGACAGCCTGTCCTCGTAGTAAGCACAGATTTTTTGGAATAAGAGGCTCCTCCAACACCACCAAATGCATTGCGGCGACAGCCACGGCAGCGGCAGTAGCCGTTAGTAGTAGAAATAGTCATGTAGTAGTAGTAGTAGTAGTAGTAGTAGTAGTAGTAGTAGTAGTAGTAGTAGTAGTAGTAGTAGTAGTAGTAGTAGTAGTAGTAGTAGTAGTAGTAGTAGAAGTAGTAGTAGTAGTAGTAGTAGTAGTAGTAGTAGTAGTAGTAGTAGTAGTAGTAGTAGTAGTAGTAGTAGTAGTAGTAGTAGTAGTAGTAGTAGAAGCAGTAGTAGCGGGAGGATGAGGAAGCAGAAGAAGATAACGCAGCCAATGGCGGCCCTAGCGTGAGTCACAGTTAGTAGTAGCAGTCGTGGTGGTGACGGTGATGATTGTGTATAGGTTGGACGCGTTCCAGAGGCCGGAGACCACAGATGGATATACAACAAACGGAAGAAAGTCGGCAGCACAAGTCAAAGAGATTGAATCTATTTTGAACTGCGAACAACACGAGTGCCTATCACTTCTTGCTCCCCCCCTCCGCACTGGCCCTTGCGGCTTGGTTTCGCTTAACGTTTAGGTTGTGTAGCCTGGCCATGCTAACTTCAACCGTAGTGGTCTGTTCCTTCAGGTAGTTGAGCGTCTCTTCAACATCCGCCATTGAGACTTCAGCAGCAGAAATGTTTGAGAGCAGGATTTCTTTGGCCTCCGCCAGGTTGTACTCCAGCATGACATTAGCGCCCAGCCAGACGCCAACTTTGTCTGCCCGGTCAATGTGCGCCCGCGCGAACAGCTGATCCGAGACCTCAAAGGTCACGTCAAAGTTTGTGTTCTTCTCCTCAAGGTGCTTCACAACGTCCAGCGTCTTTTCAATATCCGGCAGCTGCTGCAGTAGCCGAAGCTTGCGCTGGAGGTAGGCCTGTTCCATTAACTTGTACTTCTGGTAGAGTTCATCCAAGGACTGCAGAGCCTCCCGTATGGTGGAAAATCCGTGCTCTGTCAGGTAGGCGTCAACATCCTCAATGAAAACAGCCTTTGGTATGCCCTTGTTGGCCATTTCTGTTTTTAGGTCACCACTGGCAAGCGCAGGGTTGACAACGCTAGCCATGTTTAGGACTGAAAGAGGTAAAAAACGACAAAAGTTACGTTAGTTCAGTCGGTTGGTGTAAAAAATTTGATATTTTTAAATAATGTGGGGGAGCAATCTTGTAGGTTGGAGGCATGAAACCTAGGCTCGATGGCTCCTCCTCAGTGATGCCTCTATGACACCCACATAGATGGGATCCCCCCCCCCGCCTTCAGTCAAAACCTGGCCCATTTTGTGAGGACCAGGCCGTGTGTGGTACGTGTAGACGGTTATTTAGCTTTGTCCGCCACTGCGCTCGAAACCACTTCCGGTCGTACTGACATTGTCTTGCCATCGGAGACGGGTAAGCAAGACAGAGGGAGAGAGATGTAGCGCAAGTCTGCCTTACTATAACCTAATTTACGCGCGAGTCACCGGAGCCCGTGAGACACCCGGTGGGCTTCGTCGCTTGCGACGACCGAACCGTCGTGTCAATTGGCGAAAAAGATCTCTAGAACTGTTATGAAAGTATGTATTGATCCGGCGTTCTCAGGGGGAATGCAACCAGCCTGATAATGAAAAGGAACGATATATAGATCATTCCGAAAATCCCGAAAGCTTTCACTGTCGAGGGCGAGGTTGACTATTTTACACTAGACATGTGGAACTATACTAATATAATGAATGAATGTTAGGATTCTAACAGAGTTGTTTGGATTTTGGCTATTTAGTTGTCAGGACATATATTTCATGGGGCTTCTAGGGAATTTCGGATACAGGCGGGTCACCAACAGCCGCTTGGATTGTTTGTTCGAGGTTGTCTCCTCTAGCGCTTTGGCTTAAAAACCTAACCACAAGGCAACGGTGGCAAGCAAACTTATTTAATGGCGGTTTACGATCGCCATGTCACAACGCCGTCATCGGGCTTTGCGGCCTTTTATAAGGCGTTCGGTGTGCCAGACCTCAGCCCTCCGCACCCTGATAGCACTGTCGCTGCTGGTCCGCGACTGCTTATTTGTCAGGCCTGGGTCTGCTTATTTCGCAGCTAACCTCTACTGAAGGCCGTTCCATTATCCGCCACCTTTGGACGCGCCGGGTAGCCAGCAGCTAGGCTAATGGGCAACCCGTCTTCAGGAGCGTTCAATGACTACAAATAATCCCCCTAAAACAAAATAGGGCACGTAAAAACTATGCTGGGCTGAGTATTCAAATTTGGAGGTCAACCAAGCTCTCGGGGAGACCGAATAAAATTACCTACAATAGGCGGCGAAAGGGAGTACGGGGAGGAATAAGTTGTCCTTCATTTAGGTTATTTTTTTACGCGGAACGAATATAGAACATAGTGGGTTCAAAACTTCGTAAAACTTTCGAATTTTAAATAAAAGTGAAATTCGTTCAGTCAAGCAATCTTAGGATGAAGAACAATGGTTAAAGAACTACCACTGCAGAAGGCACTCATGAGCATGTGATTTTCAGAAAATAACGACGGTTCAACCTACGTGTACACTCAGGGCGTCACATTAATTACGGCCTAGTTCCAGTAGGAGTAGAGTACTCCGTACAGATGCTTGATAGTGGTCAGAGTCCCCGACGCACGACCGGCTCTGTGCTTACTCACACATCTGTCCACTAGGGTGATGTGAGCGTAAATGAAAAGACGTCGCGTGAGAGTCAGTCAACGCCAGCTCGGCCAGATGATAGCGTGGTAATGATGCTTGTGGGTGTCTGTGATTGGCTGTCCCAGAGGCTGCATGAGCGCATGTACTGGCACTTGAGAGCCGTGAGCATGTAGTTCTTAGTGTGGCGTAGGTACGAGAGTTGAATGCGCATACGTGTTTGAGGGACTAAATTGACAGGGATAATGCAAACGCAGGGGCAATTGACTGACCGTTGTTCGGTTACGATATCGTAGGATAAATTCCTACAGGCGGTCTTAGGCATGGGATGACGATGATGTATGCGGAGACTTAGCCTCATTCGCTGGAGTATCGAGTTCGTAAGTTAGCCCAATCAGCTACAGACTGCAGATAGTGAAACCTGCGTTGCAAACATGTGGCCTCAGGGAAGGTAAAGACTCGCTAACAGAAAACTCCCTCTAGTAACTTCTCAAAAAAATTCCTGTTAGTGCAGGTTCGTAACTATTGACCACTGGGACGACCAAGCTTCTGTTACTAACATAACAGCTGGCGATAGACCGGCTGATAAACACAATACTAGCAACTTCGAAGGTCCTATCAGTCCTAGACAAAAATAAGTTTATCATTTAGCAGATAACAGACCACTTAGCATGTATTCTTAAAAGCTCAACTACGTGACAACTGTTAGCTCTTTTCTTAGCCTGCACCTCACGAGCTCGAGACAACAGTCTTGCCTTTGGTTGTGTCAGTCATTCCTTTCTCATCTCAAAGCCCTCCTCTTTTGAAATAAGGGTGAAACTTTAAAATTCCACAACCTCTCATCCTAGATCTCGCACACAGCAAATTATGGTTTTCCAGTCCCACTTGTGAAAGGAATGAATGTATTCGGGCAACTGTGCTTGGCCAGTTCTCCTTGTCCTTTTTTCAACCATGTAACGGACATATTCCAGAATAGTAAACTTGCCACATTTGACGACGATTTAGAGGTTGCCCATCAGCACGGGGTGGCAGATTATGCTAGCGAGTTTCAGCACTTAGATACGGTATATGGGCTTTTACCCAAGAATGCTGTACACTGGGCCTGTCCTTTGTTTGGCACAAATGTTTAACTATACCTGTTGGCGACGGCCATCGGCCTCAACAAGGCACCAATGAAAACAGCATAAGCTTGATAGGAATTATTAGGGATCTGGCTATTTCCTAACTCAAGCATACTAACTATTTAACCAAAAGAAGTGTACTGGAAAAATCTGATCTATGAAGAACGCCCTGAAATCGCAGATTACGACTGCCTGGGGCCTTGCCGATCGCAAAATGGACTATTTTTACTGTTTGAGCTATCATAAACTTTAGGCAGCAGATTGTTTTGAAGTGGCTTGACCACCCTCGATGTGACATTCACGACGATGTATTCCCAGTACTCTCGTACATGCGGCTAAACAGCTCCAGTTCTTCCCACTAACGTGATAGCTATTTGGTGTGTGGAGGTCGTGCGGGGTACTCCTTTATTTAACAGAAATATCATGCGCTTACTTGAATTCAGAGCAGCTCTCAGAATTGAATCTACTAAACACGTCTCCGCGTCCGTGGACATTAGCCTCTCCCTCCTCTCTTGTTCATGAAGGCATCACTATTGTCTTCACTATTTCTCGCTTCGCCGGTTGGCTTATTAGTCAGCGGTGAACTGTTTTCCACTTTATGCTCTCCTTCACAACTTCTGCGGCAGCTTCTATCCAAAGAACGAAGAGGAGCATGCAAGCGTGCCCTTACCCTCAAGGCAGATGATCGCTGTCCGTAATGGCGTTGTACTAGCCCCTGCCTAGCACCGCACTTTATGCCCAGTTGTAGGGCTTGTGTGCGGGTACTGATACGTTTGGCTGACTGGGCACAGCCTGTGCGGGCAAATGCTAATCGAAACGTGTCCGCAGGGACTACTGACAAGAGTCGGTCAAACATGAAACTAACCAGAGACTAACTGTGAGTGGCAGCCCCGGGCGAGTGTAATGCCATCAGAGATTTCGGCCAGCGGTTATTCATTGCTCCTGGTCGCTTCAGCGCTTAAAGCTATTCGCACTACCCAATATTTGAATTCCATTGCGTTTTAATGTTTTTAACGGTATCGCATACCACGTATGCGCAGCATATATGCTATATATATAGCATATATATACCAGAAACCGCTAGAGAACGCTGGGGGTCCCACTGAAGAGCCGAACCCCTCGCAGCTGTGTCACGCAGCGACAGAATATCGGCGAAACACGTGTCTGGGCTTTTAGCAAGTATATATGTCGGGAGTACAGTATAATACCTTTACCATATGGTATATATAACATACAGCATAAATGTACTCGATTGTGCCTGTAAACGGCTATCCAGTATAACATAACTTTGACTGGCATGTATTATAATCTTTGATATTATAAGAACAAGTCAAAGTGTGAAATACAAAGAATTCCTGAAAAATGAGTTCAAAAAAACGCCTCACACCGTTGGCACGCAACTAGCCAAGCCGTCCAAAGCACCGATTCGGAAAGGGCGCTGAGTACAAGAGCGTAACTAAAACGTATAATAACGTACATAACTGTAAAATGACAAGCTTCAAAAGGTCAAATTCATTGCCAAAGTTCCCAGCCTGTGAACTCATTAACAGCGGGACACTGTTTCCAAGAATTGGAGGAGCGCTTCTACAGAGTCCGAGGACGTGGCGTTAGAGGTAAAACGACAAGAAGGGCTTAAGTACAAATACTTATCTCGCCGAGAATGCAACAAATTGACCTAAGACTAGGCAAAACGAAAAGGGGAACAAAGACGATTAAAGACTATAGCTGTGTGGTGATCAGAAAGCTCAGAGAACTTCCGGAGAACAAACAAGAACATATAAATAGTTAATGCATAATCGAGAGCGAGGTCAAATTCGAAGAAAGACGCAAAGAAAGTGAGAAAACGAAAGGATCGTTTTTGATATTTCGATGCGAAAAACATCACTGAGAGTTTTCTAAATGCTGTGCACGTTGGCACCAGTGATATATCGCTAAACACATTTGACACATCGGAGTGCGGTGCCTGAAGTTCAGCGGCATCAGCCACAAGCATACGAGTAGACCTCCTAGTTCGCAGGGCGACCAATGAAGATGAAAGGTGTAGTTGCCTTCGCAAGACGGATAAAGCTTCAGGAAATCAATTCGTTTAGTCGTTTGCTAGTTTCCACAGCATCTGACCTTAGCTGCAGAAATGAATCCCTTCATACGTTCTGAATCTTTTAGATTTCGAAGAAGGAGAGAACATTTGTTGCCTGGAAGTGAAATTTATGGAAACTCTTGACACGCGGAACGTGTTTCACAGACCGCGCTCGCAAACGGTAATTAAGATACAACCGAAAGACCTTTTTAGATGACTTGGAAATTTTATTCACTGAGACTGTGAGACCATATCCAATGCAAGGAGGCCTCCATAACACTTTTTGCGCGTATATTATCTTTGAAGTACCCTGATTCTGTTGAAAAATTAATATGGCTAAAATAAACTAGAGTTAGTTAGCACTGTACTTTTCAGTTTGCAGTCTTCGATGAATGGCAATCAGGATGGCACTGCACGTTATCATTTCGCGCTGCATGTGCTGGCCTTTCGAGATTAATTATAGCTGGAGGAAGACGCCGGACTTTAGTGACCTTTAACTGCTGTTTACTGGTCTACATTACTTCCCTCCTCCCCCTGCTGATTACGTGTTATTGCTCCTGCGACATCGATAATGCTGCTCCGGGCATTCCGTATGTTATTTCCCCTTAACTGCAATTATACTGTAGTACTCGAGCCACCCAAGGGTTCGGTTTTGTCTTCTTCTCCTTCTAGACGGCGGTCCGTATAGGCCTTGTTGGTGCTCCTACTTAGTCGAGTGTCTTCTCGGCGGGAACCCTGAAAATTAGCGCGAATTGAGTTCATCATCTTCAAGTGCAAGCGTATGCAGATAGAATAGGTTGACGATGGAAAAAGTTTATTAAAAGGAATATATCAGCTGAGGTAATTAGTCCTGTTCCGTCTTCTTCCTTACGGGCGATCCCTCGACTGGCCTCCTCACACTCTTCAACGGCGGTCACTAAAAAGGCACGTTCGGAACACAAAATCTGTCAAACGGTAGAGGATAGTCCTGGCAAGGACACATTAAAACAACAAGGTCAGTACGTCTTTCTACAATACCATTTATGGATTTTGGCTTAGTCCCCAGCTTCTTATTTTTGAGACCATGCTCGTGCTGGTTTTGTTAGAGAACTAACAATCTAATCATGAGATTTAATTCCCCGAATTTTGCTGATATGTCGAAGTACGGCAGACCATGCTATTCTCAGTAAATACAATGGACGAAGTTCGAACGGAAGGCCATGAAATTCGCCCTAAAATCCTCGTAAGGCAAAGGTCCTACAATTATACTGATTCGAAAAAACAATCGTTCTTCAAAGAAAGACATGCATTTGCTTCTGTATCATTATTTGCTAACAGACAAATAAATTTGTCAAAAACCAGAAATGAAAAACAAGCTCTTTTACAACTCGCCTATATGAGACTAAACGTATTAAGTGATAAGGATCGGAATGGTATTAAACGAAAAATACAAAGCGGATAATGAAAAGGGCAGAAAACTCTTTCTTAGCCTAGTGCGCTTTTCGACTTAGAAAACTAACGATCTCCAAATTAGAGGTGGCGTAAACACGATATCGGCATGTTATTTTGGTTTTTTGTTACGTCGGATATATTTACACACAAAAGACAAAGTAGCTATGTAGCATCTTGGAGGGTCGTCCACCGATCGGATTACGGGACCTGCTCGTCGTGTTGTGTCCTTGGGCCCGACTTGCTGCAAATGCTTACTGAGCTGCTTATGTGCTCTTTCGGCTAAGTGAAGCTTGTCCAGCCTAATCCGTCTTCCTAGACTCGTGATTTGGGTGTACTCGTTTGTCGGCCCATCACACTTCGGCAATTGGTGGCTCCCAGGGAGCACCGGTTTTTCTTTTGGAAGATCGGAATATGGTCCGGCGTTGACGATAGACAACCCAAACCGGAAGTGCAGGACAGTCTAGAGCCTTCTTCTAGCATTCCTTCGGCCGCCTAACTTACTCAGATAACCGAACGGCTTATGGCGATACACGGCTCCACCATGCCGTCAACTGCCTCACTCACAACTTCCTCAGCCACTACTGTGTCTATCTTTTCGCAATTGTAATCTGTGATTGTGAAGTTTGCCCATGTTGTAGCTTATCTTCAATAGCAGACACCCCTCCATCCATTCTGAAGCCCACCGATGTCATCTGCACGGTGCGTCCGGCATACTGCTTCATCGCGTCGCAACACAACCGTCACTTGCTAGTATAGTGCAGCCTTTGGTGTCAAAGTCCGTTACTACATCTTCCAATACTAATTCGTCTTCCAACAGAGCAAACGGATTAAACAGATCAGCCCGGAGGTCAATGAGACCAATCTACTTGACAATTCTGCCTGCTCACAACGTTTACGTCAATGACAACGGGAGTGGAAGGCGTTATCTGATCGACATTAAGGCGCAGCTAAGTGCTGTTCCTGCCGCGGTAGCCAATCATCTTTGCCCCAAATCCGGCATCTTTCTCCAGGTCGTTAAGACTTCCCCGATCGTCGCATTTGTTACCTGCTCCATCCCCTTGGACATTGGTCTCCGGCATCGCTTCCCCTAGGCCTTCATGGTTGTTGCCGCCTCCTATATCATTATTAATGCAAACTTCCTCGTCGTTTTGATTTTCTTTTCAATTTCCATCGGTCCCATTTACACATCCAGACCACCAGTCCCACTATTCCGTATATCCGCTTCAGCTCAGTTCAGTTTATTTGAGGTAACCGTGGATGTAGGTCATTTTAGCCGCCTATTTGTTCCAAGGTATGGAAGTGTGTAAAAGATTTGAAGACGGAAACATCAAACAACAACAGAAATTCATAGAAATCGGGCAGATACAAGAATCATTCCAAATGTTAAAAAACTTTAACATTACTAAATGCACTGTACAGTAATCAGTTCATGCATAATTGTGTTATAGAAAATTGGTACGATCTCAGTTATTCGAGGGAGACGAAGTGAATGCCAAAATTCGCGTGCAATGGACTTGGGACAAGAAGCAAATAAGAAACAAACGTGGCTGAAATAGAGACAGTAATATTATGATGGTAGCAAACCGTCAGAACATAACGCTAAGACGATATCGGTCGGGTGTCACTATGATGTGTAGTGGTATACCGGTCCAGTTTGCGCTTGAAAGCCTCGATGGATGCGGGCATGACGACATATACAAGCAGAGCATTCCAAGCCTCAACCACTCTGTTGAAGACAAAGATGTTGTTTCCAGCCTGGCGTCAGTCACACGTAGTTCGAGCGGATGACCCCGATGATTTATTGTGGGTACCAACTCAAAGAAGTCAGTAGGTAAACGACAGCAGTCCTGACCATAAATGATTCGGAGTGTTTGTATCAGGTTGCCTCAAAGTTGTGGTGTCTTTTCAACTTGCTCTCCTAGACTCCGACGTAGGTAGTCCACTTTTCCAACTCCTCACCAGTTTAAACTTAAGTGTCTCGATCCCAGCTCACAACGTTGTTCATCATACCCGTCACCACCCATTTTGACCCCTTGGTGATCCTGAGCCTGCCGTTTGGAATCCGAAATGCCTCTAAGGAATTTCAGCAGTTCGTAGATGGAGTACTTCACACCTACTTTTGTCTACATTTATACAGGCGACCTCTTGGTGGACAGTCCGAGAACACACTCGGCACCTTTCCAGCGTGTTTGATTGTCTCCACCAATCTGACGTTGTTATCGGCCCCTTCGAGTGTATCTTCGGCGTTCCCTACCTCGAGTTTCTCGGACCTCTGGTCAACCTCACTGACATCCATCCTATTTGTTTGCGGATTGTGTCCATTTGTCAATTCCGACCCTCACTTACAAGCGACGACTGAGGCGCTTTATCGGCAAGACAAACTTTTGTCACCATTCCACCCCGAACTGGGCCAAAGGCATTTTATCGTTCAAGAAATTGCTCTCGTACTCCAAAGGTTCATTTGAGCTCCCTACAGGCATCCTTCCTGCCTTTGACGAGGAGAAGTCTGCAATGGCCGACACCACCCTCATGACGCATTCCATCCCCGACACACCCGTCACCCTCGTGTTTGACACCCTCGATGTTGCAGTCGGCACTGTTCTTCCGTGGCACCTTCCAAGTAAATATAACCCTTTGATTTCTTCCACAGAAAGTTATTACCTACCGAATCGCACAACAACAAATTTGGGCGGGGACTTCCTGCTGTCTTCCTCGCCATTAAACACTTCCGGCACTTACTTGGGGACAGAGACTCCACTACATTCACTGACTGCAAGCTCCATCACTTCACTGCCAAATTGCAGTTTAACAAACCAAATTTTCAGGAGATCCGTCACCTGGACTTAATTTCACTGTTCACTTCAGACACCCACCGCATCAACAGGCACGGAATGAGGTGGTCGGCGCACTCTCTAGGCCCCAAATCGCTTACCTCTGACTATCTGCTAAAATTGAACTCGTTGCGGTGGCTTCTGCGTGAAGTAGTGGTGGCTCCCAATCGCCGTCGTTGCTGACGTCGGAAGTCCTGTTGTTTGAATGCTGGGGTTAATGGTCGGCGGTGGCGACGGTGGCAGTTCATCGGATGTTTGCTCACCGGTGATGGCCGTCGTCATCATCGTCGTCATCGTGGGCGTCTTGGTGTTGGCGCAGCGGAATCGACAATAAGGGCGTTTACAGGGACAGTAGCCTGAGTGGTCATGTTGTTGCTGAGCTGAATCCGGAGATGCCCGATGGGGACGATTAGTGCACGCATTATCCGTTAACAACAGGGGCACAGTGAAAAGAGTTGGGTTTTGGGACTGTTAATCCGCGGGGCTTGAGACTCGCGAGTCACTCTTTCGGCTTTGTCAGCAGCGATTCATTTGGCCTCATAGATTGCTGGTGCAGTCCTCAATGTTAATTACCAAGACGACGATCCCGGACGAGGCCCTCTTAGATCTCCGAATTGATTTTAAATCCATGAGAGGGCAATTGTTTCAGCGTGACATGGATTCCGAGGATTCTGGTCCATCCCTAGACTGCCGTGTCAGGGATCCTGTTCGGCCATCCTAGTATTCATGCATCAAATTTCGGCCTACGCCCATAGACCATCTTTCAAAATGATTTACTTCAAGTTAACAAATGATTTCTTGGGGGATGAAAAGCAACAAGATTAGTTCTAATTTGGCGCATACAGAAGCGAAGAGGTCCATGATTCTCCAGATACCCATTTCCATTGTTATATTGAGCGCACAGACGTTCGTGGACAGTGAGTTGTGGATCTTGGCCTGGAACATTCTCGGTAGTTCTTTCATTCGTCGGAAGGTAAGCAGCTGTCCGTCAGACCGGTCCCCTGCGTCGATTCGTGAAAGATATTTACGGTAGACGTCCATCAGTATGGCGGAGAACATGAGGCTGAAGAGGTCAGGAGCGAGCTTACTAAAGTAGTTCACCCATCGGCCACCGCAAATGCTTCTGAGGCTGTCCAACTTTCCGTGACCCCAGTCATCACTCCATCGTAAAGTTTAAGTATCATTTGGGCAAGGAGATCTGGCATCCTAATTTCAGCCTGACTGTCCGAGATCGGTCACGATTCACCTCATCGTAGGCCATTGTTAGGTTCCTGAACACAGTGAAAACGTTTGTCACGGAAGCCTTACCCGAGAGTAAAAGACGCTATCTACTACCACCTTCAGGACCTACCCCCAACAGGAACAGACTGTCGACGCTAGTGGGGAGGACAATATATTCTGTACAGAACAACTGGAGGAGGAGTTGAGAAGAGTTGGCAGCCGGATGAGGACACTTCCGGCGCCGGGTGAGTGGCGTCCCAAGGGTGTGAGGGAATGCGTCACTGCGTCTTAAGTCAGGACACGCCTGAGTCGGTCTTGAATCTGATTGGTCGGTTGGAAGACCAAGTGAGCGAATGCCAGAAAGCCATGGGGTGCACGTGCACACACTTGCGAGAGGCCCAACGCTGAGACAGGCGCACGGGGTAGGGCCAATACAAGTAAGTTTTTATTTCGTGGCATTTTCCCTACAGCTGGCAGGCCGCAAAGGTCAGGCTTTTTATATTGCGGTTCCGCGGAGTTCACCGTCAGAGACGGTTACAGTGCAGCAACGTGTGAACATTTATATCGTTGCTCCGTGCGGGAGGGAGGAGACTACGTCTGTCGCTAGGTCTGGCTTGTGCCGCCTGGTCCACAATGTTCCCCCGGCGTGGTGACGCCGTTTTTACTTCCGACGATGTGAGCTGCGCCACCTGGCTGCGTGGGCGGAGTGCGTGATAACACGCAGACAAATCAATGTGTCTATTGATAGAGTTGGTGTCCGACTCCGGCACAACAATGTAATCTCGCTTGACGAATGGCGCCAGACAAAACCAACCGACACGGCATTGGCCAGGTTCTATGGACTACCAAAAATCCACAAACCCAAAGTTTCTCTGCGGCCAATCGTTTCCCTGAAAGGCAGCCCCACATACAATCTAGCCAAATGGATGCCCCGAAAACTCAACTATCTCCGAGAGGGCTCTGTGACGTCAGTCAATTTGGCCTCCCAATTCCTTGCCGACATTCGGGGAAAAACTATTCGACCCGATCAAATCATGGTATCCTTCGACGTTGTCTCACTATTTACGTCCATCCCACTAGACTTGGCGCGCGATGTGCTACGCAAACGCCTCAAAGAAAAGTACGACGAAACGACCGGGCCCCTAAATATCCATAATCTAATGCTGCTCTTTGCATTCTGCCAAAGGACCTTTTTCACCTTCGATGGCAAAACATACGAACAAATCAAAGGAACATCTATGGGTTCCCCAATATCCAGCCTAGTTGCGGAATTGATCCTAGAAGAGCTGGGAAAGGTTACTTTCAGCCACTAAAAACCTGCGTTTTGGCGCCGATACGTGGACGATACATTCGTCATTATTGGAAAGGACAGGCTATTGAGTTTTCAAGACTTGCTTAACAGTATCCTCGCCGACATTCAGTTTACAAGAAAAGACCAGGAGGCCCAGAAAATGCCTTTCCTTGACATGCTCGTCACGCGCACAACTGATGGTAAACTCAGCACTACAGTGCACAGAAAGACGACCAATACAACCCAGGTCCTCAACTATCATAGCACCCACTCACTGGTGCACAAACGGGGCTGTGTGAGGGCGCTTTTCGACGGGGTAGAAACGCACTGTAGCGAGCCGGAAGGAAGGATGAAAGAACTACGGCATCTCTGGGACCAATTAACAAAGAACGGCCACCCAAATAATTTCATCAGCCGCTGCATACGCACGCACCCACGACGGACAAACGAAAGAGAGACACCAACAAGTTGGCACTCCCTACCGTACATAAAGAATGTTTCCGAGGCTACAGAACGCATTGTCTCAGGGTTAGGCGTGGGCATCGCTCATCATCCGGCGGCCACCATGCGTAGCACGATTATGAAAATCAAGGATCGGCTGGACGCAGGTGAGCAGTGGGGCGTAGTCTATCAAATCCCGTGCCATAACTGTCTTTCCCACTGCACAGGCCAAACAGAACGTGGTCTCAGATCACGAATACTTGAGCTCAAACGGGCCGTTCGAGAGGTGACCCACTATCTCAAGTCGCTACTCACACGCCGGAGGAAGGCCATGAGTTCGGCTTCGCCAACACGCGGAAATTGGCACGAACCGGCAACAAGACGGGCGAGAACTGTTGGAGGCGTGGGTGACGGACATCAACTCTATCAATAGACACATTGATTTGTCTGCGTGTTATCGCGCGATCCGCCCACGCAGCCAGGTGGCGCAGCTCACATCACCGGAAGTACAAACGGCGTCACCACGCCGGGGGAACATTGTGGACCAGGCGACACAATCAGACCTAGCCGCAGACGTAGTTTCCTCCCTCCCGCACGGAGCAACAATATAAATGTTCACACGTTGCTGCACTGTAGCAGTCTCTGATGATGAACTCCAGTTCGAGTTCGAAAGCTAAGGCTAATAAATCTACCGTCCCAGTGATCGCACCTTCGTCTTCTTTTGCACATAAAGATTGAGAAGGGAAATATCATTGGGTTCATGATAGACCTGGCGGTTTTTATGCCCTAGTGGGTGTAGACAGTATTGGCCTCCTTAAAATATTGACTTATTGTGCTTTTATCAACACTTCCTTAAACACAGAATTCAGTTTGCTCATCAGCCAAGAGCCACCATTTTTGTGTATTTGATCTGGGCTTTAATCCGCTTACGTAGCTCTCCTATTTGAGAGCTAGTGCACTCTCATAATGTTTTCTGGTAGAAAGAGCGAAATGTTCCTGGACACTGCTCCATCGCAGGTGGGAGAACCTGTTGGTGGCATTAACGAAAACTTGCAAGGCCGATTGAAGATGGTTCTGAAGTATGCAGGCCAGCCCTTCACGACCTGCGACTCATCCGTTAGGGGCTTTGTTCCATCGGAGATGAGCAATAGAACGGTTCCTTCCGCGAATAAGCAGAAGTTCATGGTGATTGAGGTGAAATGATTCCTCACGTGTTTGCGGTCGCGCAGCCTCGTGTTTTTTAGCCTTGCCATCCATCCAAGCATTCTTCACTTCCAGCAGTCCCCTGTTGCACCAGACGTTACTAGAGGTAGAAGGCCGCCCTTTTGAAGTCGCACCCGCGGTTAGAATGAGCGCTGTAGGCCCGTTCTTTTCGAAAGTGGGATCGAAGGTCTCTCCATCGACATTGTCAAACCAGATTTTGGGAGCGTAAGTTTCCAAGAACGCCCAGGCCGGTGAAGCGCAGGACTTTCCATAGTTGGCGCCACTTCGACTCCACGGCGGCGTAGTCTCCTGTAGCCTGTACTTCTCCTGGGTAGTGGTTTAATCCATTGTTGAAATCTAAGCCATGGTCGAGCACATTCAACAGGTCAATATTTAACTTGCCTGGCAGCCAATCACTTTAGAGTCTCCTCGGAAGTTCCATTGGCGTCCTCACCTTGGAGAGGGTGGGGCTGCGATCAGTCTAACCTTTAGAATATCAGATCTCCTTAGTCACCAGCACGTCGTGGGTGATCCCGCATTCGGACGGAAACATAACCTAGCACTTCCCAGCGCGGCGAGCAGAAATCCTTTCCTCTTGTCTGCAGCAGACGTCTGCCGACCTTTGTTTCGGATTTCGGTCTTGTACAAGAAGCTAAAAATTATGTAGCTAGGGGAATAAAAGACATCTTTTTGTTCCTTGTGAGAACGTGAATACTGGTAAACGTTTGAATTTATCGCACATTGCCCGCCTAGGTTGACTAATGTCGGCGCGAGCCCTGTACGAGAGGTTTGGTGATGAGGCCGCCCATATCCAGCAGCTTATATCCTCGATTTCCTCGACTGCTCAAAACTGTGAGAGCACTCACGAAGCTCGAAAGGAGATAGAAGTTCTCCAATCCGATGCAAGAAAAGGGTTTTCGGCGTTAAATCTACTTGTGGCCGAGTTGGAACAAGCGGCACACTCAACTGCACCATCTCGTGTTCATGAAAATCTTTCGAATAGCAAAAACCAGCTTCTTTCTCTGCAGGTAATTTGCACTCGCTCTTATCATAAGTGACAACCTTATCCTAACTTGCTAAACCACAGTACATGTGCATTGATGAGCGGCACGTATCCCTAGTAGCAAACGATATCGGGTAGATATCCAGTAGATATCTATCTATGGGGATTAATATATCGACTGGATATCTATCGTGTCGCAAAATGGATATCTATCAGATATCGGTTAGTCGAGATACTACATGGACGCCCCGGGGCGTAATATGGTACGCCTGAAGTCGTTTACGTTAACCGACACTGTAACCTATATATATATATATTTGAAAAAAGATGGGTTCTGTGGGACAAGAGGGTTCCCCAGGTCGTCGTCAGACCAGTGTCGAAAATTTACGCAATAAACCCTCTTGTCCCACAGAACCCATCTCTTTTCAACTTATATCGCTTGGGATGCCTACCTTTCGATATATATATATATATATATATATATATATATATATTACAAAACTGGAATTTATTCTAAAAAGTGTCCGTGTAGGAAATTTAGACAAAGACACCTCCTAATCAATCAATCAGTGAACCCAACCTTGTTATCAACGTTAACGTTAGTCCCAGGGATGACCCGAACACCAGCCGTCTCTTAGAAAATACCAGAAATGCATACTAACCCCAATTTAAATAAAAGTCGTTCGTTAACTTCCTACAAGATTTTGAGCGACAACCATAGTCAAATTCTGCAAGCTGTCCTCATGAGTTGAACACTCTGACGTTCAAATCAGACTTCCAGACTCCATTGCTCTCGTAGCCGCGTTGTTCCATGCTTGCCTTTTCATGTATTTTACGCCTCAATACAATCCTGTCATCATCCGGATCTGTCTCTGCAACTGACGGTCTCCGTTCCTTGAATTGATTAACCCTTCCTGGACCTTTTTACTCTTAATACTGTTGGCTAATGTGCATTCTAGAGCCCTTTCTGATGTTTAAAAAAACAAAACACGACCCAGTCAGAACATGTTCGAGAACATTGATCCCTTTTTCTGGAGATAACCGGTAGATCAGGATGTTTCCAAAAATGTGATCTAGAACTATGGAATCAGTTGGAAAAAGGACCTGCCGGATGGGGGTGGCTTGTGTCTACGCAAAAGGAATAAAAGTGGAATGAAAAGGATGGGGAATTCTCAGCAGCATCAATAACTGGTTATGTGCTAAGCTAAAGTACCTCCATTCTCGTGACTTGTATTTGCGTGTCATACTCCACAATTTTTGGTAGAGGACATCGCTCAAGCGTTTCCGCTCGCCACTTTTAATTTGTCCGTTGATGACTCGGAGTTGCCTTTCAAGTGTCCAGACAGCACTCATTGCGGTTAGTCGTTGGGCCTGCGAAAGTTCCCAAATGATTGACCCTTCTGCGGCGGAATAAATATCGTGAGACACCTACAGGATTTCAGACCATTACCCATTAGGGTTGTTCCTAGCCGAGTCCACCCCTTTTTCAACCAGTTGTCTGGCGCTCGTTGGAATCAGAGCAGCCGCACTCTTCCTACAGGATTTTTTGGATTGCATGTTTTCGAGAGTCATTGATCTGACGGGTAGCCCTGGAGTTATACGAAGGCCCGAAACGACCTGCTTACCAGTCATTGGATTTCGGCTTTCCGAAGATACGCACAGAAGCCCGCTTAAGGTCCGCTTATCTGCTTAAAAATGGGAAATTAATTTCGATGAGTCCCGAGAGAGGAGCGCCGTAAAATTGGAGCACATAACTCCGAGCGCACACAACTTACACTGACAAGGAAAAGCAGTGGACAAAATACACATCCACTGTCAATAATCATAAGTTTTGGTCAGCGTTGAAGTTACAATTTAGGAAAGCTTGTGTCCGGAGCTTGTGACGACCACCACTGAACATTCTGTGTCTTCAAGTTGCATCTGTAAAAGTAGCTATGGTGGGACAGATAGGCCCAGGACAGGCGCGTCATTTACCGGTCAAAAGTCTATTACCAGGGAGGTTTAAAATGTGCTTACCAGGACAACCTAAGCCCGCATGCACTCACCCCCAAATGTGCATAACTGTAAGAGGTATTCTTTGTGTCACCTTCCATTGTACAGCTGACAAATTTGTCCTGATTTATCTTGAAAAAAGTTTTGAAGCAGTCTAATTGACTTGGGTTTACCGCGTATCTGGTCATTAACTCAGTAGACAGCGGACTTGTGTACTATTGGAGGTTCAAATGGCTCTGAATGCAGGATAGGATTGACCAGTACTTGGAGGGCGCTCGAACGCGGCCGGACTGGTGCGGGCTATGAAAGTGCCTTCCGAGATTACGGCGGACAACCTGAACCTCCAGTCCTATATACGAAGATATTTCTAAACTGATCCCAAATGACGTTTATATTAAATCTAGTGATGCAACTCTATATGATTATGTCCTCTAAGCTCCAAAGAAGAATAATCCTGTAACACGGAAAGGAGCAGGCAGTTTTACGACCGGAGCACAACTGTGTGGATTATGTTTTAACTCTGTCATGAACCCTTAGTACGGTAAATCATTGCACCCTTAGACATAACAACTACAGCAAACAGTCGACAATTGTAGCCTCTGTATATCCGTCAGCAGCCTTAGAGTAACCTGTCTGCTCTGTGATACTTCTTGCAAAATAGTGTCCCTCGGAAGTTTCTTTCACATACAAAGACATCCTGTATCAACTCGAGAAAGAATGAAGATGTATGGACATTGTTCTGTACTGTTAGGTACGCTCGTGTCGTACACCAGTGATATCCAATTTCTTCAAATTTTTAGTTTTCAATATCCCAAACACCCTGCCGATTGGCCAGCATAAGCGCCTGTGGCGGTTATTAATGTACTGCGATGCCATAAACGTATTTCTGGTGGTTGATTAGCTGACAAAGTAGTATACTCCTAAGTGGACCTTCCTTAGGGCATAGGATTTTCATTCGCCACTATCAGAATACCCTTACGTCCTGTGCCACTGTGACGTTAGACCAAGGCGGGTGCCACCTTTTCCCACGACATGTGTTATATGGGCTACGCCAGTCAGCATGTGCCCTTAACTACTGCCAAATGTGCTTTTGAAACGCATCGCGCGGGGGGGTCTATCTGGCACCAACCACTGCGCCCAATTGCGTCTCCAGTCGGGCGAAGCGAAAAGAGGGTAAGACGACAGATCTAGCGTATACTGCCCCCGACTGTCTGATAATTGTAGCTTGGAAAGTTGCTAACTAACAAACCAACTCGGCAACCACCCTTTATCTTTGGTGACATGAAAGCCCGTGCGCGGCACGCTTTGAACTGAAGCAGCACTCTGCGTCAACTGCTGCGCCCACTCGGATTCCCAGCTGTTTGTGCGGAATAGGGAAGGCCGGCTGAGATGGATCTTGATCGGACTCAGCGCCTGGTTCCCCTACTGCAAACAATCAGGTACGCATTTAAAACATTGCGACATGAGAGACTGCTCCTGACTGGGAGGTAGACTACAACGACTCCGTCTTATTATGGCCATTATTAGACCCTAATTCACAGGAGATACAAGATCCCTTACGGACGGATTGTTTAGTCTTGTTAGTTACTATGTCCGCGCCAATCTCCAGGCGGCTTACCCCTCACAAGGTGTGTGGGGAGTAGGAAGTCAGTGTGCATGTCACTGAATGTATATTATCGTAGCTTACGGTGGACAAACTAGTAGCATTAGCAGCTGCAGATTATAGGTAGACGTGACTAGAAACCCTTAAAAGATTTTTATCTCTCTTGCGCCAGAATGCCTACCGGGAGACGGTGTATTCCGCTCTACGCAAGCTCGAGGCTGCTGAGCGTAAGCAGCTCATTTCTGGTTCTTCGAGGACAAACGCCTCTGAGGAGGCAAAAATTCGCAACCAAGTGTTGAGCTCCCTAAAACTGACGGACGAGATGAGGATCCACGCGCGACGACTTGCGGAGGAGGTAGCTCGCGGCATGGCAAACGCCGAACTGGTGGATGACTCCTCTGGCCAATTCAACAGCAATCTAAAGGGCCTCAAAGACATGGGCGGCCATTTGCAAATGGCCGGCCGTTTGGGCCACAAATTATCCAGACGTCGTATTGCGGACTGCGTTCTATTTACCCTAGTCTTTCTTTTTTTCTATTTGACTTGCGCCTATATCATCCTAAAACGGTTGTACTTTTTCAAGCTTCTTTGATGAAACTACGCAGTTTTTTCTGTCCTGTCTTCTTGTCACTCGTAAGTGTATGCGCGTCTCACCGTTGTACAGGAAGTGTCATCTCAGACAAGAAAAACGATGCACCAGACACCTACAATAAGGAGCAGTTTGGATTATATGGCGGACGCACCGAGGAAACTTAGCCCATAATTTGGTCGTACACCAACTCTGCTGGTACGCGCGATTCGCCTAAGAATTTATATCGATTCTGTACTCGAAATTGTCTGCTCCCCCCTCCCCCGCAAAGAAATGCCGCTGAAGTGCCCTAATACACTTCAGTTCTTTACGCCCCTCATGAGGTTGGTTTGTAAGTGGCAGGCGGACAACAGCGGGGTCAGATCCCCCCGACTAGCTGGAAGCCCGATGAGGCATTGATCCCTTTACGAGCGCGAATTGTAGAACAGCTGACGCCTGGCGATGCTGGACTTCTGGTACCGCCGTTAATGCTTTGTATTACCTCAGGGGACCTTATGCCGCTACTCCCGCACTTAGTCATCGCCAGTGGCGTGATCGAGGTCGGTCGGCTCGCTTCGGGATCACAATCTCACTAAGAGGGGGGCTGCATCAAGGCATCGTCTGACTCAAATATAACCACTTAATGCCGAAATATCCAACCGCAGTTAGCTGGCGGTCTGTCCTGCAATCGTGGACACAGGACTCACGCGGGGGCGTCTGTTGCTGTGCGCAGAAGTCTGGTTTTAGATACCACTTGTGATGCCGACAAAACAGCAGTTCGCTGGGGCGTGCGTTGCATTTGTCTTTGCATTCGAGGGTTCTCGCTGCATGTGAGCAAAGACAGGTCTAACAGCTCTCCGGATGAGCCAAGATGACCCGACTGCGTTAATGTAACGAGCAGGACCTTTCGCCGAACGTTACGTACCCAGCGTTGTTCCGGGACTAGCACGTGGGCGCCGCTCATCCTCCGCACCATGAGCCAGGCTTGTCCCCTTTTCAGCTGTTGTAAATAGTACCCCACAGCCCCAGATAGACTGGTGAGTCATTCAGACTTGCTGACGAATTGGGGGTTAATGGTGACGTACCACGGGGTGAGCATCGTCTTTGTTGACATTCCGAGTAAACGGACGGTCTGGGATGCCCCACAGCTGGGGCAAAGAGACCGGCAGCGTTTCAGATTGCTTGTCGAGCGAGCATGAATGGTAAAGTGGGCCAGCGCAATAGCGCCAGTAGGGGGCCAACAGAGAGGTACAGAGCCAGGGAGATTTGCGGGAGAGATGAAAGAAACTGCAGTGGTGATTTCTGGTATGCTTGCCGTCGCCGTAAGTCAACCATATCCCGGGCCGGGGTTGTCCGTGCTCCTTGATCGCTTAACGGTAAGAAGAGGAAGATGCGTTCCAGTGACTGCATCGCCTTGTGAGCTACTTCCTGGTACTCGCCTGTTATCTTCTATCGGCAATTGAACAGTAAGTCCGACGCTCTATCGCAGAGCCACCAGCAACAACGGGAATTATTGAATTCAATTGTACTGGCGCCCACCGACACATCTGGACTCCAGAATAGAGGACGGGCAACTCCGGTCCCAAGTCCATACAAATGTGTACAGCGAGGAGCGACCGATAACTCGGATATTATCTAAAGACCGAAGGGACTGGAAGTGCCGCCTCACGCCTATGGCGAGTCGGCCAGTCACAACCAACTCAACTGTTTACAGCCGCCCCCCCCCCCGGCAGGAAAGGCGTAAAGACTCGAAGTGGTTTCTTTACACAATCTAGCAAACATGCATACGACGAGTATGTACAGTAAGAAGGGAGTCAATACCTCAGGACAAGCAGGGTGGGGCCAAACCGCGACAAACAACCACCTCGAACCACTTAGCACAAGTGAAATTACAAGTGCAGTAAAGGATTTGTACAGACGCTCAGGAGCGCTTTAAGTATGTACATACAGATGTGTTTGAAGCAATAAGAAAATATCGTCCAAGTATAGGTATGGATAAGGGAGGACGCGGAGGTTCCCGTCTTAGTTCAAGCATAAGACTTGGAAAATATAAAGGATAATCAATTAGTGCGATCGAACCCAGCGGTGCCGGCAAACTACAGCGCACGAATCAACACAAACGACTTCAAACCAGCGCTAGTGGGGAGAGTTGGGGGTGGTCGCAGGCAGAATAGCAATTCTAAATGACGAGCAGTTCGGTTCTTCTCATGATACTACAGCAGGCTCTGGCAGCTGTCCATTCGAGGGAGACGTTGGTCCCAAAATTACGGGGGAGTCGTTTGCAACGTCCATCGGCACACCCCATGAGGGGAATTGGATAGCTTCCACGGCTTCTACAGTTTCGCCTGGCAGTTGTTCATCACTCGGAGGCAGCTCCATATTCATCTCTGGAACTCCCAGCGGCTGGGGGGAGGGAAAAACAGTTGAATCAGGGCGGCAGATGCAGTCAGAGAAATCCAACAAAGTGAAGTCCAGGGACCTACCTGCTGCATCGGTCTCGCCGGTGTGCCACCAAGAAGGACATACTTCTTCCCATCGCTTGCGCCCCTTATGACTGTGTACCTCACAGCGGCCATCCGCTGACCTGTAACAACTGACAAAATGCAAAAAGAGCGATGTAACTACGAATGGCAACACAGGAGATAAGATACTACAGCCTAAACTGGCGTAAACGTAGATGCGGGGTGCGCCGTGTGGTCCTAAAAGTGCGCGTAGCGCGCCTTAGACAATGGCTCTGCACAAAGTTACTGCGTCCGACCTCACCATCTTTAGCTGGTTCAAATGGGATTTTCCATTGGCCCATAACGGAAAAGAAAGCAGTGAAGTCAGTCCATCACTACGGCGTGCCTTTAAATTCCGTCAAATGACGATCCTTTTCTGAACTGAAGATCAGGCTGTGGTGGCTCCCCAGCGTAGCCCGCATGCTGAGATCCAAGACTCGACTTAGAAGTCCAGTCCGTGTAAGAAGCAGCACGTGTGGTGCGCACGGACCATCCCCAGTCGTTTTGACTTCCTCGTCACTGGAACGGGGTGCGTGTTCAAAGCAGGTTACATGCTAGGCTGGTCTTCCTCACCACAAAACCAATTCACGCGTAAGCCACCAATGCGCCTTCTCCGGCAATGCGACGGTCCTCGTTCTCGATGAATGCGATTATTATTACAGCTCGCTCAGATGAGGATATCCAGGCAGGACAGAGCACGCAGCTGCACTGATTAGGAAACCGAACTAACACCCGCCAATGTACTAGGGATGGGAGACAGCTTTCTACTACAATGTTGAATTGTTTGCTGTTTGTTAGGCAGGCAACGTGACAGCAAGGCCAATCCTGTACAGTCCTTAATGATAAAGCTGATGCACCCTTGGGCGAAACGTCGCCAACTAGTGACCGAGGTTCAGGTATCAATGGCTCCTCCGTAACTTGGCCTTACGAGCCTCCGAGTAAACGAAATCTGGTTTGGCAGAGGGGGGGGGGCGCCTATCGTTTTACGGAACTCACTCGTCCCGCTGCACAACGGAGCGTAATATAGGCAGAATAGCAGCACTGACAGAGATAAGACATGGATTGTCGTTTCCGGCTTATTAGCCGTCGTCAGACAGCCGTGTCTAATCCCAAGGTGATTAAGGCGTCGAACTTCTAACCAACAGACCGACGGATCTAGCCCCAGGGGTCGCACACCTCGAGTTTGGGTATGACTGGCTGACGACGGTTAATGAGACATAAATGGCCATTCCAGTCGCCCCCCGTCTTTGTCGGAAATCTGGTTTGTTTCGACGGAGGAGCCGTCACGCATTCGGAACGCGCAGATGGGGCCTCATTAGTTGCCATCCAAAGTATCCACGAAAAACCTTTGCCGCCCCCATGCATCACAATGGGTGAACTATAAATCAGCGCGCAGAGCAAGGCAGGAGAAGCAGTAAGAGCCTTTAAATGGCATGCACGACGTGAATACTGTAAAACAGTAGAATGCCTGAAAAAAAAGAAATAGTACAATGCTCACCTGAGGTTGTTCCGGGGAGACAAACGTTGGCACCCGACAAAATGGTGACTGCCTGGCGGGGTTCAGGGGCATGCGATTTTCGGCCAAACAACCGGGAGCTGGCTGTTTGATTCGTAGGCGCGGTGGGTGCCGCGCAGGTCACAACTGCGTAGGCCACAGGAGTATTAACAGTGGTTGCATTGGATGGCACAAGTCGAACCAACTGGCCTCCGGCAAGTGAGCCTGCAGTCGCGGCAGCGGAATCAACAATCAGGCCCGAGTCCATGGAGGCGCCAACGCCCAGTGGTAGTTTTTGTAAACCACCTGCACCCGCAGTAAGCGCGCCGAGCGAGCGCATAAATGGCGGTTGGATGCGAGTCACGGAGGTTTGTGAGACTAGGGGAATGCCGGTAGGACACGTCATTGTCAAGGTGGGTGCTAAATTGGGTGGATAGCAGCGTTACAGGACTGCGTAATTTAGACCATCGTGGTGCCTCGAGTTATCACGAGCAACCAAACAACAGTGCGACAATCAGGTGTCTAGCAATGAGTGACCGATCTCATAAAATGTTGGCTGAAATGCGTTTTCGATTAGGACGGCGCGGTTGTAATACTGATTATCTGGCGGCATAATCCTATAATGTTTCGGACTTGGCAGTATGTCAGCTTTTGAATACACTTCCTGTGGAAACCGTACTCGGTAACAAAATGACTACTTAAGTAGCATGCATTTTCCTATTGATTTCGATGGCCTTACAAATTCAAATATATTTTACAGAAACCCCAAGCTTTCTTTCAGTTGTTCGATAGAGAATCACATCATCCTTATATATTATACTCGAAGAAGGGGTATAATTAGGTTTTAAAAAAGTTTTCTAATTACCGAATAATTTGGAGCCTGATCAGTCGTTACATTAGCGCTTAGTGATTTCAGTCCACAAGGTGCATGCGTTCCGCGTAAAGAAAATCACATATTCTTCTATGTCTTTAAAAAGATATCATATAGAGTTCAGAAAATTTTGCAATGGATGCGGACTATGTTGTGCACCTCATGAGGAGCAGTGGTAAACGAACAGGTAAGATGCAATATGAATGGACATTACGCTGTCTTAAAAATCTCATAATGAGAAACTTTTTTTAAAAACCCGATTATACTCATTCGAGCATAAAATATAAAGATGACGTGATTCTCTACCGAACAACTTTGAGCTTCTATAAAATATATTTGAATTTGCAAGACCATCGAAAATCAATTGGGGAAAATGCATGCTACTTAAGTAGTCATTTTACCGAGTACGGCTTCCACAGGAGTTTGAAAGGCAGTGTATTCAAAAGCTGACATTTTGTCAAGTCCGAAATATTATAGGATTATACCGTAAGATAATCAGTATTACAATCGCGCCTAAGTAATCCTTCCTAATCGAAAACGCACTTCAAAATTTCAGCCAACATTTCATGAGATCAGTCACTCACTGTAGCAATGACTAAGACCTGGTAAGAATATATCACCTTCCGAGAAGTCCTTCAGATGCTTCCTTAAAATTGCCTCAAAAACCCTTTGGAAACCAAACTTACCGTATGACACGACAGGCTTTGTTTGGGTCGTACTTGAAGCTGAGACGGATGACGTGCTGGTTCCTGCGCGTTTTAAAATGGTCGGACGCCGACGAGACGAACCGGAAGCCTTTAGGCCGGAAATTGGACTGTTCAAGTTAGACTGCGGTTTGCTTTGGCCGTGGGGTGAGTAGCCCGTGTACTTAGGCGTGGCTGACTTGACTGGCAAGGCAAACGCCTGCGTCCCGGGACGGATCTTTGGAGCACTGGTGTCTACGAATATGTGGCCTGGAAAGTTACATATAAGGTCAGCACAACTAGAAAGGTAACAAAAAATAAGCTGTGTAAATACAAATCCCCCATAAACTCCAGTAAATCACGCTTTATTCTGATAAAAAGGGACAAAACACTACATCGAAAGTGGAAAGGTCAGAGTGCATGGTTTTAAATCCAAAACATCGGCAAATAAACCGGACAAGGAGTGATGACAAATATCGGGCACAAAAGTAGGCAGTACCCACGATGTTGCGTGCTGGATGGCTTAAAGTTCGGCTACCATTCATCTTAACACCACTTTGGGTGGAAAACGGTCCAAAGCCAGAGCGATTAAGGGACATATTCAGTATAATGCTTCACCTAGAAACCGGGCGCGTTCAATTAAAGTCATTCGAAGTTGGTTGCTGAAGACGAGACATTTTGGTCGCAAAAACCCCAGTAAACCACAATCTTTGGTACTAACTTTGCTTTTGCAAGTTTGTAATGCTATCAAGAGACGGTATACGCGTGTTCCTTCAAGAACGTGACATAATCAAAAAAGGTATCCTGAAGAGCATAAGGCAATCGAATCTATCAGGAATATCTCCAATCAGTCTACGAACCTTACGTAATTTATGTTCTGACAGAAGCCTCAAGACCACCACTTGGGAGATCTTAGGTCTAAATCACCAGAAACGTTTAAACAGTTCTCAAAGGGTTACATTGTGACACATTTTCGAACAATTCTGCTAGCTAAGATATTTGGCTACACGTAGACACCCCAAAACAGTGGACAGGTGAATTCAATGAAAACAAAGACTTCGAGCAGAATTTGGAGAGCTCAGCGGAAAGCCAGAAATGCAAACAGTACGAATCGACTTGACATTGTATTTTATGAAAACCGGCAGTGTCCCATCAGGAAACACATTATGTTTCAAGGCGCCTCACGACTATCGCCTCCACAAAATTGTATTTCGCAAAAAGAACCCTCTATGGATTTGGCCGTGTTTTTCCCGCATGACTCAGTTGAGATGACGGCAATTGAAGAAAGCAAACAAAGTTTTTTTAAGTCGGCGATAACTGGTGGCGCCGAAGTAAATGCTACTGCTCGAGGCAAACTCCCTTTCCAGTCGTTATCTGTCGTCCACCGTGAAAACTTGCTTCAGTTGCCCGGCGAAATTCGCTCCTGTCTGACCAAAAGCGCTCAAAGGCCTACGCGGCAAGAGAAATGGCCAAAAACAGTTGGTGGGTAAGTAATGTCTGGTTGGCTTTGGTGTAAGAAGCTGTCGCTTTTGTGACGCCGAAAACCAATGAAGACAGTTGTGGGAGAAACTATTAGACTGTAGTCTAGGAGATTGTTGCAGTAGTGGTTATGTGCAGGGCAAGAAATCACAGCTGTCGATGAAACTGCTAACACCAGGAACGGTCTCACGAGTGCGGTCAGGGTCCGTGACACAGCGATACGAGTCGCAGCGCAGTGAGTGTGTGTGAACCCAGGTTTTGCACTTGCTACACCAGACCCTTCATCCAATGTGCCCCATGTTTGAGTCAGAAACGGCATAGGGGTGTGATCCGTTAGGTACTGACGGTCTGTGTACTGAGTGCTTGACTAATATGACGGAGGACACCGAAATTGAGCTTCGCTTGCTTGCGACTCAAGTGCCAGGCAGTGTCCGCTTGTGCACAGCGGAGGGGGGTGGTCCGTGGGGTTACTGAATTCAGTATCGTTGTGGGGTAGTATAGCCAATATTCCCTGCTCTCAGGCACATTGTATTTGTGGTCGTCGCCTAAGAGTCCCATTCCGGACCGAGAACACGACAGCGGCAGGGGCATGCTACATGCAAGTGCTTAGCAGTCTCCAGGTTACTTCCAGATTTCCTGCAGGTATCACCTCTGAACAGTCAGAGGCTCATTCGAAGAATGCGAGTGTAAACGCTGTCGAACGAATGCATCCGGGTTAAGAATACTTCCCAAATGTCGTATTACCCATCCGTGTAAAAGAACTGACTCAGAAGATGGCTTGCACACACGCAGTTCTGCCCCCGCCGGTTCGGACGAAATTGATGCGCCGGTTGGACCGGTAGCTGATTGCACTCTCAGCCCGCCCGTTTAGTAGAGAGCTCGGCAGTACTGAAGCGGAATCAGCTTCGACAGGATCTGCAACACGGAGACCACGAATGCGTGTTAAGGAACCCAAACCAACGTGTGGTTGAACAGAGTTGGTGGGAAAGCACAACTCCGATAGAGGCCTGAAGTGACATCAGAGATGTCCCTCCAAAAACTTGATTTGGGTGTAAACGAGCTGGACAGAGCGATGTGACTTCGATGGCATGCTAACATGCAGCATGATCCACAGCAGGGTATCCCGATGGACAGACAAAAGTTGTGGGAAAGCTCACAAAAGACGAGGGGTGGCTGTTAGCGGAGGCATGTCCCCCAAACGGACTACGCGGTAGATGCACTGAACCGACACTGGGGCCACATCGGACCCTGGCAGGCGTTATCGGACTTGCGCAGCATAACAAATTCCAACATTTTGGGGTGCGGCTGCAGACCCAGTTGCCGACAGACGTCGCGCACATTGGGACCCCTGCGGTCCTCCCCAATGTTGCTGTTGATTACAATCCTGGTCCGGGAGGTGTGGAGTGGAGCGTCAAGGTGCGGGTTCGACCGCACCACCCATTTGCGTCCTCCCCGCCTCCGGTCTTCTTGACACCGGGTCCAGGTGGGTAGGGGAGTGCGATAGATGCTGTGCAAGTCTACTACCACTATAAACTTATTCACGCACAAGTCACCGCCCCCTGCTTCACCATGCTGTTGAGCACACGGTGGACATCGTCAGCAACGACGGTCGAACTATCGTTAGTGGAGACAGTGATCAACGAAAAACTAACTGACCGGTTGGAAGTGAGACTGTATATGGCATAGAGTATGGAGATTTAAACTTACCAGGTTGGACGGAGACCACATTGGGACTAATGACGGACAACTGCTGAGGAATGCTTACGACCGGCAATTTCGTCACTGCCGTGACAGGTGCCGGGCCCACAGTCATACTCAAATCGCCCATTCCGGGTACAGAGGAGGCAGTCGAAGATGGGGAAATGTAGCCGCCCTCGGTCGTGGAGTGCAAATCAACCAGTTCATCATGCGCAGCAGCACAGAGATCAACCAGTCCGGTGTGAATTTGATCAGGAAAAGTGCGCATGCCACCATCCATGCCATCCGGATTATCTGACTGGGACATAGCACTGGTGAGGACGGGTTGTTGTTGAACGAGGTTAGTACCGCCACCGCCGCCGCCACCACCAAATCTAGCGTGAATGGAGTCCACTATGTAGGGTCTAGAAAAGAGGTGAAATAGGTGCCGGCTGCTATACAAATGGAGACCGATGAACGCGTAGGCAAGACCGAAAAAACGGCGAAAATACAGGCCTTGTTCGAATAATGAGGGTAGGAGTTCATATACCAGAAGGCACATGGGAAGGGCTGGGGTGACCCACCGATGAACCGAACAACTCGCGGCAGCGTTATGCAGCGGCACAAGATCGGTGAAACACGCGTGTATGAGCTGTCAGTATGGTAAACCGTCCGGTACTTGAATACTACTGACTGATTGTTTGCAGCTTGTGTAAACTTCCGAACCGACCCTAGTAGGCTTCCTTCTGAAGGGCTTAAAGTTCGCGCATTAATTTCCGCCGAAATCCAACAAGCCTAGGCAAAGGTAGGTTTTGTTTGAGCATGGATAACAAGAAATCCACTTCCCCTTCTGTTGTCAGTAGGGTTTTGCATGACCGCACCAGGCCTAGCCCTGGCAGTGCAGTTACGACTGACTGCTTCTAGACCGAGAGACAACTTTGTGCTGAGGATTTAATTTAATTAGGATAACAAACTTTTATTTAACCCCCTCCCCTCCTGGCCTAAAAAGAGCGCAATGCCCCTTCCCACACCCCCTTCCCTACGTGGTGATTTCGAATCCATTACTGACCGGTTGTTTGCCAAAAGGTTGAGATGACACCGCTCTGGTCATCACCTGGTTCTAAAAGATTGCTTTGGACCACCGGCTCCCATCCACTGATGTCTTAAGCAACTTTGCAGTGTAGAACGAATATATACGTTTATTATGGTAGATGGACGCTCATCGACCAGGTCACGGAACATGCTTGTCCCGTCGTGCCTTGCAGCTCAAATTAGAACCTTCACAGGCAGTCGCATAGCGACTAGTGATATATGTAGATAAGGTGACACCGACAAAGAAAAGGGAGACAAGGATGGCCATTTTTGGCTTATTAGCCGGTCTCCCTTGTCATTGTCGGTATCACCATATCTACACATATCACTAGTCGCTATGCGACTGCCTGCGAGGGTTCTAGTTTGAGCTCCAAAGCACAACGGGACAAGCAAGTTCCGTAACCTGATCGGTAAACACCTATCTACCATAATTTATATTCCCGAGCACAACCGACAGGGCAACGGGTCCGTGGCTCATTGGTAGCGCGCTCGATTCAATGACCAAAGATCTCGGGTTTGAATCCCAGGTAGTTCACACTTAAGATTGGGTATGACTGGTTGATGACGGCTAATAAGCCAGAAATGGTCATTCTATGGTTGGCCGAAGCCTGCGCCGGTGCGCGTCAGAGGTCTAGTATGCTGCATCTAGTTTTGGAAACCTGAATGCAAGTGCAACTGCAGATTGGGTTCAAAATTATTCGGAAATAAGAAAGGTTTCACAAAGTCAAGAGAAGTCCTTTCTTCGATTATGAAATTTGAATAAGACCTCATTTGCTACCTACTGAGCACAAGAAGGCAGCTTTTGTGCCCATATTCTATGACATATACTTTAACTTGCTTTGAGGGCTGAAATTGCTTCTTCAGCCTGCGACCTTTGAGGAATTCTCACCGATGAAAGGACATGATCTTCTCGTTCGTCTTGGAGCTCAGTCTAGAATCGACAGGGCAACGAGCCCGTGGCTCATTGGTAGAGCGTTCGACTTAATGAACGGAGATTTCGGGTTTGAATCCCAAGTGGTTCACACTTATGATTGGGTATGACTGGCTGATGGCGGCTAATAAGCCAGAAATGACCATCCCAGTCTCCCTTCTCTTTGTTGGTGTCACCTTGTCTATATACATGTCCTGCACCGAATAATTTCTGAAATTATTCGCTTGGTTCTTCTCTGGAATGGATATACCAGAAACCGCACAGGGGACGCTAGGGGACTCACTGAGGAGCCGAGCCCCTCGCAGCTGTGTCACACAGCGGCAGAATATTGGCGAACATGTGTCTTGTTTGTAGAATGGACATTACGTGGTTATTCCACAGCAGTTGATTGCCCGCGACTCAAATGTTCACTGAAGTTTCGGGTCTAACCCTAAAGTCATGTCCCAGAGACTTAATTCTACGTCCTGCACCGAATAATTTCTGAAATTATTTGCTTGATATACATTTATACTGCACAGTGCGAATCTTTGTCTTCTTTTATTCCCTTCACTCTAAAAACTGGTATTTACGCTAACCCGGTCGCCAGACAAAAGTTTCAAAAAATCGGGGCAGTGGTCGAAAAAAGAGTGACCATGAATTTGACTGTTTCGGCACTGTCATCCAAATATCAGCTAACTGCTTTAAACTGTTACAGGTCAGGATGCTGCACAGTTTGATCCGAACTGGGATCTTAAATATCCTGATGGTGCCGTATCATCCGCCCGCCCGCTCCAACCATCTTCACACTTCATGTCTTTAGTATAATGCTGGTAAAAATATCGTAGTAGACCTATGGCGGTTTGCTTGTATGCGTTCACCCTCTTATCCTTCGCTGCCCTTGTGTAAAAAGATGTCTGAATACTAAAATGCATCATTCGTTTTGTGGCCTTCGCTGTGAGTCTTTTCTGGTCGAAATAATCCTCTAATGACACTTTCCAGCTACCAGACAGTTAGCGGACCAAAGAGGCACATTCACTCTACTTTGATTTAGTTGCAACAATGTGCTATCGTCTGCTTTCCACATCCCATGACTGTTTGTGCGTAAAAATTAGCATATGACCATACCAACCTAGACGGCCATCCTTCATGCAACGCCGTCATTATACAGGTTGTCGTCTACAGGAGCTCCACCAGCGGTGAGAACCAAAACGAACAGGCCATGCTGTGGACACGAAACGGGATATCTCGGAGATGAAACAAACTCGAGTAGTGGTAGCGGGTAGCAGACTCATCGCACCTTGGACGCGATCTAGTTGTGGCGGCATCAGACCCAGCGCAGTGAAGGGAGCGAAAGCTCTATGTACTTTTCAGTCTACTGGGATTCACAATTTTAAAATTGGCACGACTTTCAACAACAAAAAATTCGAAGTAACACTTTGGGCCGTGTGGAGCTCGACTTAAACTTATGCTACAGCTTACGACGCATTTCGCAGAGGAAATATCGGACTAAAATTGAGGATGGCTCTCCTAGAGCCCCGTGAAGGCTGATCTGAGGCCAAAAATGGATAGTCGAGGTAGCTTACCGGGCCTCACGGCCGACGGGATCGTGGTAGATTAGGGGCTCTGTCCGAACAACTTGCATGGGACGGATAGGCGATTTCCGACGGCTGCTACCAGTAGCTGGAACGGCGGCCATTCGTTGGTGAAGGAGGTCTCCGGAAAATTCATCAACATCCACAACAGCCGGATCGTGTGGAGCTAGCAACTGATCTTTGCCGTCAACTTGTAGGTTCAATTGTTCCATCGGGGGCTCTTGTTGGGTGTTGTGGAGCTCGATGCTTTCGCTTACGTTTTCAGGAACGGGCATAATAGGGCTGATATCACTGTGACCATGGAAGCTCGCCTTCTCGGGGGTTTCAAATTCTGTAACTGTAGGATATATTGCCAGGTTTAGGAAGGCATGCATACAGCCGACTACTTTAATTATAGTAGTAAAAATATTTCCTGGAAAACGCATAGGTCACTACTCGATCCCAGTGAGAACCGATATACAGTCCAGGACGAGCGAAATAATCCAGATACAGTTCTGAGTAAAGCGGAAAAGCGCATATAACGTATATTTCGCGGCCAGACATTCAGGGTACGTGAAACAGAACAGTGCAAGCACCGAATATGTCTAAAAAAGTGATTAGTTTGATAAAACTGCTATAACGTCACGGCGGGTACCGTGGCTTAACCTTGTTTCAGCGCACTGACAGCGGCATTTGGCGGACATGCGTGAATAACTAGCACGAATGTTCGTAAAACGCAAAAGACATGCGTAATGACTCAAAGATCGAACGGATTTCAAAATGTTCGAGAACGGAAAAAAGGCGGCATGTACTAAGGATAATAGTTCGTTGATTCAGTATCGAAACAATGTCTCATAAGAAAAAAAACTAGTGCGATACAGAGGACATTTATAAATGCTAGTGGTAGAGAGGGGGCTGGGGAAAACCATCTAAATGACCTTAGCACAAAAGCGACCTTAATGCTTCCTACCATCAAAACCTTTTCCAGGGTACGAAGATAAAGGCTTTGGAATTTCTGGCTTCCGGGTTGGTTTTGGGACAAAGCGATGACGCTGTTTCCTGTTTGGCATCTGAGGGTTCACACCACGAGTCAACCCATCAGCAGTATCATCAAGGACGAACTCGGAGAACGGAGTGAACCTCTGGTCATTTTGGTTCTGTTTAAAATGGGTCGGAAAAAAAGATAAATACACTGAATGACTGAAGATAGTCAGGGAATCGGACGCCAAGGCAAGGTAAAGCATGTGAGCGGCTCAGGAGGCCCAAAAAGCCCCGTAGTATAAAAAAAACGTCTATGACTCGAACGTTTCGAGAGCATAACATGAAATAGAATGCGAGTACAAGGCGGACATTTATCACAAAAACACGTTTAAGTCGGCAAATGGCATGAATAAAACTACAGGATGATTCTTTGATGTTTTTGGTTCGCGCAACTGGAGCATGCGTCTTTTCAAGACAAAGAGACTGCAAGTTTTTCAGTATCGAAGTTGCAGCCTTGTTAACCCTCATCCAGACCGGTGAAATGGGGGACACCAGACGTTCAACAGTACTTATACTTGCTTGCTTACTTGTACATGGTACGAATGCGAACACGTCTGATCTAGCCAGTCTCGATGATGCCCCGAACTGTACCTCACCAGGCGCGACGATCCGCGGGAGATCTGAACAGTGTAACCCATTCTCTTCGTCAACGACGGAGACCGAATACCGAAGCAACCATCAGGCGCCAAGTCATGGGGCCCAAAGACCCACTGCCACGGTGGGAAACGTCTGGAGTCGTTTACCGGATCTGGTGCAGTTGTGGACAAAGCAACTACGTCGGAGAAACTGGGAGATTACTCCGTACGCGAATTGCCGAGCACGCAGCAGCAGTGAGGCGGGAGACGCTAGCTCTCAGGTGGCAGCTCATTCGACGGGACCCGGTCATATTTTCAAGTTTCAAGGGGCCGAAATTCTTGCAAGGGCTGACAACCGCGTGAGCCGCGAGCTGCTCGAGTCATGGTTCTCAGGTCCGCAATCCATCAACCAGCGCAATGACCTCCCGCTACCATATTCCGTGCTGAGATTCTCCCCGGGCAGGGAAATCAGTCAAGTGGGGAGGGCGCGGGAGAGCAATTATCCCAATGACAGTGAGCCAATTTGCTGAGCAATCGTTCCACCAACATCCAACACGGATGGCGAAATCATGGCCATTAGTGACTCGGACGCGGACTGACAAGCCACCATCGCATCAATTACGACCCCAGCGGTGATTGCGAGAGCTGTTAATTACAGTACGCATATGGTCCCACGGCAGCCACGTGCTATAAATACTGCACTGCTTGTGCCCCATTACCCTTATTTGCGACTGTCTCTGATGATGGGTTCGAGAGGGAATCCGAAACGTCAGGGTAATAAATTTCTTGTTCCAGTGATCGCATCTTCGTCTTCTGAACTGCTGCCTGGGGCTCGCCTGTTCGCTTCTATCGGCGATCTAAGAACCACCACCATGTCTTGACGAACTGTGTCGAGCCAGGTTTTGAGTTGACCCCCTCTTCGAAGCGGCCAATGGGGCAACTGTGTCGGATCGAAGTGGGCGACGAAGAACATGCTCAAATCACCTCAGTCGACTTTCTTGGATGGCCTGGGTTATCCTTGCGATGGTATCGCAGCGAGAGTGGACTGTCTCATTTGAGACGGAGTCACGGTTTACTTCACTCGAAGGATGGCCTTCAAGCAGTGGTGGTCAAATACCTCCAGTTTTCGCTCGTCTTCCACGCGCACAGCCCAGCATTCACAACCATTGAGAAGAACTGACCGGGCAGATGGACGGTGCACACGAATCTTGGTGGCGATGGAGATGTCGCGTCGGAACCATAGGCACTTTCCAAGGCTCGAGAAAACCCACCGGGCAGCATCATTTGGGGGGACAATGTCGTCCCAACTCTGCGCATTCGGTAGTAGCCTCGCCCCGAGGTATTTAAAACTGTCTACTTCTTCAAGTTGACAGCCATCAATCCCCAGAGGTGCCTTCCCCTGGTCAGGGATACTGCTTGAAAACACGTCGGTCCCCCCGACGTTTATGGATAAACCGACCGATTGAGCGACCTCGTTCGCCCGTGACACCATTGACTGCAGGTCGTCAAAACTTAGAGCAAGGCAATATCACCGGAATAGTCGAGACCAGTCAGTCGGCGTCCGGGTGCGAACTCAACACCGTCACCTTCGTATAGGGCCCTCCCGAGAATCCAGTCAATAGCGTAGTTGAACAGAATGGGCGACAGGATACAACCCCGTTGAACGCCAGATCGAATACCAAACGGTTGGGAAAGATTGTTGCGGACCAGAACTCGCGCGGTGGTGGAGCGATAATAGGTCTTGATCATGGCGATGATTGTTAGCGGTACAACAGCTAGCGCCGTTATCCGCCACAGGAACTCACGATGGACGGAACGTGGCGGCAAAGTCAACAAAGCAGACGGCCGTCGGTTGCTGGTAGCTATGGCGGAACTCGAGAACGCGTCTCAGTGTGAATAGTTGGTCCGCACATCCAGGTACAGCACAAAATCCGGCTGGGTTGGACCTCGTCCTAGAGTCACACACAGCCTAGAATCGCCTGAGGACAATAGCGAAGATCTTCGCATCACAGTCGATAAGGCTTATGCGGCGGTAGTTCTCGCATCTCGCCTTATCTCCCTTCTTGAAAATAGGTACTAGGATGCCTAAGCCCCTGTCATCAGAAGCAACCTCGTCTCTCCACGCTTGTTCAATCACCTCATGGAGCCGGGGCGTCAGAGGATCGACACAAGACTTGTCGATTTCAGCGGGTATACCGACCTCTCTGGGTGCCTTGCTGTTGCGTAGCTTTCGTATGATATCTGCGACCTCCTTCAGAAGGGGGGTCGCGCGGCACTGCATAGGTTGGAGAGGGAAGAAACTCCGGTGCAGAGGAGAGCAAAAGCGAGGTGGGTTGGGTATCGAAGTTGAGATGGTGCTCAAAGTGCACACGCCAGCGCTCGACTTTGGCCGAGTTGTCCGCAACAAAGCCGCCATTCACGTCTCGAACAGAGTCAGTCAGTGTAGAGAGCTTACCACTAACTTGGCGGATAAGTTAGTAGAGTTTTCGAGTGTCACCAACGTTCGAGGCCTGTTCCATGGAGGTCGCTATTTCAGCCCAATATTGCTTCAGGTCATCCCTGGCTGACTTTGTCATCATCTTCCGAAGTTGACGGAAATAATCCTCATTACGGGACCTGGCTCGAGCCGCCTGAGCAGACAACTGCAGGGTTCTCCTGCTGATCAAGTCACTGCGGCGTCGCTGGGTATATCCAAGGATTTTCCCAGCTGTCCCATAGACTGCCATTTTCAGTGACGACCACTGGTTACTGCCTTCTCCGTCAAGTCGGGTCATAAAACAGGACCGGATTTCTCTGCTCAGGGTCTCTACAGTGCTGGTTTTCCATTCAACAGTCCACAATACTGTTAAAAACGGTACTGGCTTCCAAAGTATGAGGTTGGAAAGCGCACCTACAACGAGCGCAACTTACTTCCTACGAAGAAACACATTTTGTTCTAAGTCATAAAGGGAATTGGGAAAGAGAAATCGAGTAGCGAAGACGGTCCCAAATATGTTCTCGTAAAACCTAGACTAAAGTACAGCTTGCGCGTTAAGTGGGCGAGACCCACGGACAAAAAAGACGTCAATCATTGAAGTGACCACCCTCAAGAATACGTTAAAAGTGATATTAGATGGCGACTCGCGTTAAAGAAGCACAGGAAATTCAAAGATACAAGTTGACTAACTGATGGTACTAGAGCTAATTATCCGATACTAGCTTGATTTCCGAAATTTGCACGTCACGAAGGCGGTGATTTCTGGAACAAAACGACATCGGCCACGTCCAAACAAGCAACAGTCAGACCCCGAAGACCCCATCCAGGAATCCGTCCATCACAAGGATAAAATATAACCAACGGGAGGTGACGGCGACAACGTTAAACAATACATCTCGTTGGAAGAAGCAATCGGTCCAACCTCTAGACCAACCGGCCCAGACATCTTGGCGACTGTCCATCGCCGTACACCAGAGCACGAAAATAACCGTAAATAACGTATACCACAGACTGCATATATTCCTTAACGATATAGAAGCGGACGAGTTAATAATCGAGTAGACATTCTTTCGGTAGGAATCTAAGATTTCTCACTGACGGTAAAAGTTAGGCAGCTGCACAGACTGCCGATCGAAATTCTGAGAAAATAAAGCATCTCGAGACTGAGAGCATGATGATTTACACTAGTGCCGGACCGCTGCGTTTAAGCCACGACGTGCGAATGAGCATAAAGGCGGATTCGTGTGGGGTAAGTAGTACTGTTCGTTTCGCCTAGCCTCCTGCGTATGTCGCCGTTACCAGCATCTCGCTGTCACATGCACAGCACATATTGTTCGGTTCCGTACCTCGAGCGTCAGTGACGAACATTGCATCGAATCTGGTATGGTGGACTAAACGTAGTACTGTGCGGCGTAGCAGTTCTCAAGAAGAGACGAATAAAAATGCGGCAAAACGAACAGTTTGGCTGATGAACAATCATAAAGTTACTTTTCTGAAATTTGGTGGCAAATCGGTTCTTTGGTTTCCTTCCTCCTGTTAAGGCAAAGCTTTCAGGGGTGGAAGCAATTCCTAGAACAACTAGTGGATTAGTGTGGATTTCAACGCCTGCAGGGATTCTCTAGTCGATATGCCGGGGACGAAATCTCTCAAGACAAAAGAACTATGCAAGGACCCTAAAATGTTTTAGTGGACTAAATTCATGCTAGAAATTAGAGCGGAAGAGGATATTCCTCAAGCATCAAGAGACAATACAATTGTGAGGGGACAATAGAATATAGGAGGGCCATGAAATCAAATCGTGGATTCGACTAGGACTGTACACGAGTGCTGCAATGGCCTAGAGAACAAGACCGAGGACGCCTGATGTCTGCAAGAATGGCTACTCATGAATCATCATGCACAAGTCGAACTTAAACCAGTGCCGATTAGAACCGACACTAGCCTAAAGGGTTCTAAGGTCCACGGCATAAGACGCAGAGGTTCAAGATCGGCGACAATAAGACCGGCAGCTCAAGATCCTGCCCTACCAATGGTTGAAGTACAAATCCGAGACGGAAACAGCGGCGGGATGGGAAGCCCTATTGAATGGCGGGGAAAATTTACGACGTAACACAGTTATGACTTCTTTGCGAGAAACCAATTCGAAAAATCCGCGTCCAATCAGGTTTGAAGGTAGAGCTGATGACTTACTTCGCCGTAACATTCGATTGAAGCCTATATCTCTGGACACAGGAAATAACCCGCAGCTAGGCAAACAGGCAAACCATATATTCTTGGGGCTCCCACCGTCCCGCATTCGGTTCTATAAGCTGCAACTTATTCGAGGACAAATGATTAGCAGCCCGCGGCTCAACAACTAGACGGACAGTCACGATACACAGTCTATTCACGTGCACCCACGACCAGTCAAACACAGACTGTCTTTTCAATGTTGTCTACCACGTCGTATGACAATATTCTTTGTAAATACACGCGTAGTGTCCCAGAAAGGCCTAAAGGCAAGGCTGACTCTACAACCAGCTGCTCCAAGACGGAGATGACCGCATTGTTTGTGCTCAAGAATATTGGCGGTGGAAAAGTGCTCTGTAAATAGTTTGAGTTAGTGGGCAGTTTCTGTCATGTCCGACTGAACTCGCAGTCAAAGGAACAGAGCAAATATGAATTCTGGCAGTACACTAACCGGGTGCGACAAACTAGATCTATTTAAACCCTGACAAACTGGTCTAGAACACCAAAGGCGGAACTCTAGGCAGAAGAAATTCCTAGCAAGACGACAGGACTTTTGACAGTAGAACAATCACTAGCCCAGATGTTCGACAACCAGAGCTCAGGCTCCATTCCCCAATCTGTCTTTGATCGGTTCGCCGGGGAATGCCAGAATCATAGGCCTAGAAGACAACAGGCCAAATTTGCTCCTGTTTCTTGACCATTAAGACAGTTCAGGTGCCGTTTTCGGCATGCTTTCTTTTGAATTTCAAGGTAACTAGTAGCGTTAAAGTAATTTAGTCCGACTAAATGTACAGAAAACGAAGTTGAAGGTAACTTCGCCACCACGGAGTATGGGTGGCGTGACAGAAGTGCTAAATGTTATAAGAACCTAGAGGACGTAAAGCTGCTTTGCTATTTTCGTAGATGAAAGCAACCTAATTCCATCGTGAATTAATGACAAGTCAAGATTATCACTTACAAAAGACGCACAACTTCACATATTGACCAAAAGGCATTAAGAAGTTTTAAAAATGTAGTACTGATGGGAAACGCACGTGGATTTCTTCGGGCGAAAGACTTAGTTCGCGATTCCGATATGAAGGGTGCTTCGCGTTATGGAACAGCGGCGCGAGTGGATTAGTGTCACCAGCTGGTCTTTCATAGTGGCGGAAGTCGTCGAGTCTGTAAGGATAGTCAGATTCTGGGCTTCTTGCGTCGTCAGAGGTGTGGTCTTCAGTATCATTATCAAAATCCTCAATCGGTCCAGATCTATTCATGGAATCCCCTTCCGACGGGCGTGAATCATATGAACGGGGCTTCGGCTTTCGGCCACGGCGACTTCGCAATGGCACGTGACTTTTACTTGGACCGCTAACTTTGTCCGCGTGTTTTTTGCGCTTTTTGTGCATCAGGTTGGCAGATGAGACAGCCATAAGAGCAGCAGTAGACCCGCTGTTTCGGAATCGCGAGCTAACGTCACTAGCGTGTTTAGAGACCGAGGATTTACTACGAACACGCTTGGTTTGCGTGTCATCCTCATATAGGAACCGTCTTTTTATGTAATCTTCTGCATCTAGCCGCCGCCTTCTGGGCTTCTGTTCGTCAGAAGAGACATTCTCCGCAGGAACACGTGTGGCTACTTTCGGACTGCTCGCTACAACCTCCTTCTTCGGACGTTTGGCGACATTTGAACTTTTAAGTTTTGTACGAGCCTTTAAAGACCTAGGAAGTTGCAGGTAAGCGAGTAAAGTCAATTACGAGGTGGATGGTTTCGGTTGCTTAACGGATAGTTTGCCAGCAGTCGACCTTTAAAAGACGTTAAGACAGAATCTAGAACAAACCGAAATGGTCGAAGACTTCTGCCAGGCTTATTATGAAGACTGTCGTTCGACGAAGGGTTCGGCTTACGAGAAGTCCTAGTAGGAAATGGATTAAAAGGTAGACACCTCTAACCTTATGTCGTCCCCTCTTTTAACCATACTTTAGAGGCAGATTTACTTAACAGGTTATCAAGGGCAAAACGGTTAAGGGGTAGAAGCGCCTTAAAACTTAGTGAGAAATCTTCCGTAATGCGCGTATGACATCCAACGGCAAACAATACCGTTTCGTAAAAAATGCATTACCATTAAAACAAGTAAAGTCGTTGTTAGTTGGTTAAAACAAGTCTCGTTATCTCAACTGCAGGATATTTGCATGAATAAATTACGCAGTAGAACGTTTTTAGGCCTCCGACGATCTATTTTAACTTTTGGTGTTTGCAGAACTAACTTCAGATTTTTCAGGTTCCTAAACAACGACAACAGATTTCTCCAACCTGCGTAGCATTTTGAAAAGCCGTCCCTGTTCGGAATTTGTCAGATTGTGGTAATTGTGTCTCCTTGACTCGCTGCGCGGGAGGCGAGCGAGAAGTTTGGGTGTTCGGCCGGCCGAACGATTTTTTTGGGTCGTAGTTGTAACTTCAGACAGCCCATTGTAACTTCAGATAGTCCACTCAATGTAACCCTCGTCCGACGGGCAAGAGACGCCTGCACTAGGAGTCTATTCGTGGATGAATCGCATCAATGGTTGGGGAACTGACTGGTTTCCTGGATTTCTGAAAATGATATGAACCACTTATCTACGCCTTCAAGACCAAACATGTTTTGTTTCGTGCTTTTATTTTTCTTTGTATGTACTGAGAAACATTTTAAAATATGCTTTACGAACAGACATATTCTCGGAAAAAAATGTTTGGATTGGGTGTAATTACGATGGGAGCCCACGTCGTGTTTGATGCATTGACTAGCCGTCTTAATGAAACTGACGTTTCTGTTCACCATTCAGATTCGAAATTCCCTATCATAATAAATGCCCATCTGCAAACTTCTGGAGCGTAAAACGCGATTCATTTACGCTTTTGCGAAGCCTGTGAGTAAGACAATCAGCCAGGCTTGCATACACCAGGAGAGAAGCAGTCGGAAGGGTTGAATTAACGAGACAGAATGAATTGCTGCAAGTCTCGACTGAACAGTTAACCAGTTCAGGTAATATACTAAATTACAGAAGGACTTAAATTAATGTCACCAGGGTTTGGCCAACCTTTAAAAGCGGTGTGTAAATGTTACTATAAATAATGGAAATCTGTACTGCGGATACGTTTCTCTCAGAGACAGCCTTGTGTTCTTCATTACCGACTTCTGT